CCGCTGGTGTACAGCAATCTTTAAGTCATACCACAGATTCTCAATTGGATTGAGGTCTGGGTTTTGACTAGGCCATTCCAAGACATTTAAATGTTTTCCCTTAAACCACTCAAGTGTTGCTTTAGCAGAATGCTTAGGGCCATTGTCCTGCTGGAAGGTGAACCTCCGTCCCAGTCTCAAATCTCTGGAAGACTGAAACAGGTTTCCCTCAAGAATTTCCCTGTATTTAGCGCCATCCATCATTCCTTCAATTCTGACCAGTTTCCCAGTCCCTGCCGATGAAAAACATCCCCACAGCATGATGCTGCCACCACCATGCTTCACTGTGGGGATGGTGTTCTCGAGGTGATGAGAGGTGTTGGGTTTGCGCCAGACATAGCGTTTTCCTTGATGGCCACAAAGCTCAATTTTAGTCTCATCTGACCAGAGTACCTTCTTCCATGCTTGGGGAGTCTCCCACATGCCTTTTGGTGAACACCAAATGTGTTTGCTTATATTTTTCTTTAAGCAATGGCTTTTTTCTGGCCACTCTTCCGTAAAGCCCAGCTCTGTGGAGTGTACAGCTTGAAGTGGTCCTATGGACAGATACTCCAATCTCCGCTGTGGAGCTTTGCAGCTCCTTCAGGGTTATCTTTGGTCTCTTTGTTGCCTCTCTGATTAATGCCCTCCTTGCCTGGTCCGTGAGTTTTGGTGGGCGGCCCTCTCTTGGCAGGTTTGTTGTGGTGCCATATTCATTCCATTTTTTAATAATGGATTTAATGGTGCACCGTGGGATGTTCAAAGTTTCGGATGTTTTCATAACCCAACTCTGATGTGTACTTCTCCACATCTTTGTCCCTGACCTGTTTGGAGAGCTCCTTGGTCTTCATGGTGCCGCTTGCTTGGTGGTGCCCCTTGCTTAGTGGTGTTGCAGACTCTGGGGCCTTTCAAAACAGGTGTATATATATACTGAGATCATGTGACACTTAGATTGCACACAGGTGGACTTTATTTAACTAATTATGTGACTTCTGAAGGTAATTGGTTGCACCAGATCTTATTTAGGGGCTTCATAGCAAAGGGGGTGAATACATATGCACACACCACTTTTCCATAAATAGTTTTTTTTTTAAATTTCACTTTACCAATTTGGACTATTTTGTGTATGTCCATTACATGATATCCAAATAAAAATCCATTTAAATTACAGGTTGTAATGAAACAAAATAGGAAAAACGCTAAGGGGGGTGAATACTTTTGCAAGGCACTGTACCTGTTTCACCTGTGAGCTGAAGTTATGTTCTAGCTCTGGTATGTGAGCTGTGTGGGGAGGCTGTCCATAGCCTGGTACACCCCAACCTGCTATAGTTGGTTTGGCAGGGTAGGCCTGATTAAGGCTTTAGTTTTCGATTTAGGTTCAAATCTGTATTTTGAGTCTGTTTATTTTGTAAATACCTTTGTAGATTATGTAAATATTCATTCATTGGATTTCGTCATTCACCGGGAACCACCTTTCACTGTTAATAAACTGGACACTATTTTGCACCTGAACATTTTAAGGGGAATATAAGAAGTATTGAGTTGAACATTGTTTAATTGATGGAGTACTATGGATACCAATATCGCTGTGAGCCTCCAAGCAATTCTGTGTGGACCTAATACATTTTTTGGGGAAAGAATATTGTGAAACACTATCATTCCACTATTACTGTAGATCTTAATAACATACATCGTAGATTAAAGGCGCTAGGCTATATGTAATATTTTTTTATTGTTATTTCTGAAAATGATCTTAAGATCTACAGTAACAGTGGAATGATAGTGTATTAGGTCCAGACAGAATTGCATTTAATGGTAGAGCCTTCTTATTGGTCAACAAAAGACGACCATCTCGTTGTCAAATTGACTTGAGTTTCCTTTAGCTTCAATAGACAGGTTAGCTGACGTCACTTAAACGATGCGCACACTTAGAAGGTGCAGAAGGCTGTGTGTTATTATGGTTCTGGATGGCCAGATAGCTAGCAACAATGACAAGAAACTGCCATGTGGTGAATCCTAAGTGGCTCGTTTCAGCTCGTCTGACCTTGTTCTTAATGCCATGTCTTATTTGTAGGTGTTTTGACTGATGTCACAACTATGCTAATATGGCAAAAAAATGTGCTAGCTAGCTAACCAACAACTAACGATGTATTTGAGAAACAAGTGCTCATTGTGCAACTTTGTGTTTTCAATAAACATTGGAGATGGAATATGTTGACAAATGCTGTCAAAAATCTACGCCAACCCCATGTTTTGCCCCATAGTTGCGCACTTGTCGGGTTTGTTGCTAAACAACCAACCCCTTCTATAGCCCCAAAGTAAGATTCCACAGCAACAAATTCAAAATTGGCTACAAAAAAAATAGGTTAGGGTTCAATTTAAGGTTAGGCATAAGGTTAGCGGTTGTTAGGGTTAGGTTTAAAATTAAATGTTAATTAGAGAAATGGGCGGGGTTTATGACTTTGTAGTTATAGAAACGAGTGACGACCAATTGACTGGGGCCAGCAAATTGTTGTCAAATTGACTGGGGCTGAGCGATTTCTACGTTTGACGTTTGCTGGCCCCAGTCAATTTGACAAGGGACGGTTAGTCTATTGTTGACCAATAAGGCTGCTCCATTAGAATGCAGTTGTGTGCACCCCCAATAACATTTTTTGGGGTAAATATTGTGAAACACTATCACAGGACATTTAAGAAATTACAATGCAAAAATTTTACATCTAGCTCCTTTAATATTATTACATTGTATTGCATTACATTACACCCTCCAAACTTATTTGACATATACAGTGGGGAGAACAAGTATTTGATACACTGCCGAATTTGCAGGTTTTCCTACTTACAAAGCATGTAGAGGTCTGTAATTTTTATCATAGGTACACTTCAACTGTGAGAGACAGAATCTAAAACAAAAATCCAGAAAATCACATTGTATGATTTTTAAGTAATTAATTTGCTTTTATTGCATGACATAAGTATTTGATACATCAGAAAAGCAGAACTTAATATTTGGTACAGAAACCTTTGTTTGCAATTACAGAGATCATACATTTCCTGTAGGTCTTGACCAGGTTTGCACACACTGCAGCAGGGATTTTGGCCCACTCCTCCATACAGACCTTCTCCAGATCCTTCAGGTTTCGGGCTGTCGCTGGGCAATACGGACTTTCAGCTCCCTCCAAAGATTTTCTATTGGGTTCAGGTCTGGAGACTGGCTAGGCCACTCCAGGTCCTTGAGATGCTTCTAACGGAGCCACTCCTTAGTTGCCCTGTCTGTTTGTTTCGGGTCGTTGTCATGCTGGAAGACCCAGCCACGACCCATCTTCAATGCTCTTACTGAGGGAAGGAGGTTGTTGGCCAAGATCTCGCGATACATGGCCCCATCCATCCTCCCCTCAAAACGGTGCAGTCGTCCTGTCCCCTTTGCAGAAACGCATCCCCAAAGAATTATGTTTCCACCTCCATGCTTCACGGTTGGGATGGTGTTCTTGGGGTTGTACTCATCCTTCTTCCTCCAAACACGGCGAGTGGAGTTCAGACCAAAAAGCTATATTTTTGTCTCACCAGACCACATTACCTTCTTCCATTCCTCCTCTGGATCATCCAGATGGTCATTGGCAAACTTCAGACGGGCCTGGACATGCGCTGGTTTGAGCAGGGGGACCTTGCGTGCGCTGCAGGATTTTAATCCATGACGGCGTAGTGTGTTACTAATGGTTTTCTTTGAGACTGTGGTCCCAGCTCTCTTCAGGTCATTGACCAGGTCCTGCCGTGTAGTTCTGGGCTGATCCCTCACCTTCCTCATGATCATTGATGCCCCACGAGGTGAGATCTTGCATGGAGCCCCAGACCGAGGGTGATTGACCGACATCTTGAACTTCTTCCATTTTCTAATAATTGCGCCAACAGTTGTTGCCTTCTCACCAAGCTGCTTGCCTATTGTCCTGTAGCCCATCCCAGCCTTGTGCATGTCTACAATTTATCCCTGATGTCCTTACACAGCTCTCTGGTCTTGGCCATTGTGGAGGTTGGAGTCTGTTTGATTGAGTGTGTGGACAGGTGTCTTTTATACAGGTAACGAGTTCAAACAGGTGCAGTTAATACAGGTAATGAGTGGAGAACAGGAGGGCTTCTTAAAGAAAAACTAACAGGTCTGTGAGAGCCGGAATTCTTACTGGTTGGTAGGTGATCAAATACTTATGTCATGCAATAAAATGCAAATTCATTACTTAAAAATCATACAATGTGATTTTCTGGATTTTTGTTTTAGATTCCGTCTCTCACAGTTGATGTGTCCCTATGATAAAAATTACAGACCTCTACATGCTTTGTAAGTAGGAAAACCTGCAAAATCGGCAGTGTATCAAATACTTGTTCTCCCCACTGTACCTTGGCCAAAATGTGTTTAATTTGTTGTGGTTAGTAATATTCATGTGATTTTCTTTTAAATGCAAATTTTAATTTTTTTGATCTGGCAGTACCTGCAGTACCTCCGTGGACCCCACTTTGAGAACCGCCAGGGGAACTCAACTCTTACCCTGCGAGGTCCACAGCCTGCTGGTTTTCTGTTCTACCTGATAATTAATTGCACACACACCTGGTGTCCCAGGTCTAAATCAGTCCCTGATTAGAGGGGAACAATTAAAAATGCAGCGTAACTGGCTTCGAGGTCCAGAGTTGAGTTTGAGGGGACTACGCGATACTATTACTGATGATATGACAGAAATGTATGAGAAAACATAACTCCCACAAAGCAGCACGCCATAGGACTGCAGGCGAGGCTAATAAAACTGAAATAACTGTGGTTATCTGAGTTTTGGGTACATTAGAGTTTGTTGCACTTGCACACTTACATCTGGTTTATCACTTGATGATGTATGTGGTTTACTGTATGGTTAAAATGGTTTACTTGAACATACAGTAAACCATCAAAGGAATGGCAGAGGTAAACCTGAACTATGAACAAATATCAACAAAACTAATAGTCTTTCACAACCTTTATATAAAATACAAAACATCTAAAAAGAAACTACAATGTAGATGGTGTTCGAAAAAGTAAAAAAGAAAATCGTCTTTAGAGGGAATAGTCATGCTTTGCTGTACAGTGTGGTATGATCTTACTCCAAAATCCTCCATAGCCTACAGTCAATCCGGTGGTAAAGACTGGGTAAACGTGAACACACTGCGATACAAACTTTTTTCCTACATCACAAGCACACATTTAAAGCAGATACATATACACATAAGCTTTGTTTACTCCTTGTTGCAACTTGCAACGCTCAAACCCAAATACAGTACACTATATAGTACACTATATGATGAATCCAGCGTTCACATTCAATACATCCAGTGTATTTACAGTGAAGGTCTGGACATAGGCTAGCCTTCAGCAATATACTTACTTTGTATTCAACATTCTATTCCAAAAATATAATAACAAAATCATTTTTTGTAAAGTAACTTATTTCTGGCATTGAGCACTTGTGTTGAACGTAAGCAGTCAGATATAGGGGGAAAAATCAACCACACTACTGATCTTATGCTAATGTCCTGAGAATAGAGAGTATTGAGACTGGTTACTGCAGGTTAAAGCAGGTTTCTATGATCGCCAAATAGAGACCACACAGACTTCTCCTACCACTTTTTTATTTGTTCTGTTAACCCCGAAATCTGCTTAACCCAACACGCCATCTGTTCAGTTCATTGTTCCATTCGTGTTTTTAAGGAGATGATGGCCAACAGGTGGTAGGCATCAGTGAGAACATTATTTTCCCACAATACACTTGATGGGATAATCCATGGCCTTGTTAGAATACTTTAAAAAATGCAAATGTCCTTCCTTGTTTCCCTGAAGTAAGCACATATTTATAAGTGACTGAATAGGTTCAACTAAATAACATCATATTAGTTTCAACAATCCAACCAATTAAGATCTGCGATTACTTCAAAGGAAAGTAGGACGGAAGGACGCATAAATCAACTATTCGAAAAGGCTCCGAGGTCCTGTATTCACTCGTCCATGCCCTCGTCGTCTTCCTCCGCCCTGGCGTCCACCTCGGCTGTGTCAGAGAACTCGTGCAGCAGGACGTACTCGCGGCTGCTGAAGCCAAACTTGAGCACGTCCTTCTCCTTGAGCTCGTAGTAGCGCTGCGCCTCGATGCGCTGGTTGTTCAGGTAGGTGCCATTGCCCGAGCCTAGGTCAATGATGTAGGGCTTCACCCGCCGCCCACCAGTTCCGTCCGAACGCGTGAACTCCACCAGCCTGGAAATCAGCAGACACAGAAAGAACTACATTACCCAGAGGTTGAAAGTGTCCCAACTCAGAACTACATAACCTAGAGCAGGGCTGTCCAACCCTGTTCCTGGAGAGCTACCGTCCTGGAGGTTATCGCTCCAACCCTAATCATCTGATTCTAGTAATTAGCTGGTTGATAAGCTGAATAAGGTTAGTTACAACTGGGGTTGAAACAAAAACCTACAGGTGGGTAGCTCTCCAGGAACAGGGTTGGAGAGCCCTGACCTAGAGATTGAAATCACACAAACACAACTACATTAACCAGACGTTAAAAGTGTCAGACTTCAACAAAATGTTGTGAAATTATGTAAGTGGGGAAAAGGCATAATTTCAAAACAAAGAGAGCCGATTTGCGAAGGCTTAGCAGCTAAACTAATGGCATCCCGAGGGCCTGATTTGAGCATCCAAGTGATTGTCAGATCTCACCTGTACTGGAACACTGCGTGCTGTTTGGAGCAGGAGGGGTGGTCGATTGGGATGTCAGCAATCTTCCTCTGCCGCCCCATCAGGTAGGCACTCTGCCTGTGGACGTACATGACCGGGAGCTGTTCATCGTTCTTGAAGGGGTACAGTCGCCACCTGCGCTTGGGGATGCGAGCCTCGGGGGGCTCGTTGTACTTGATCACTTCCCCCCTGAATGTGTTGGTATCTTCCGTGAGCGCTCCAGACAGTTCAAAGTTGGGCTTCTCTTTATCGACTGGGGGGCTGTCTTCGCCCTCGCCCCCCTCTTGGGTACCTTGTCCGAAAGCTTGTCGCTCGTCGTTGTTCTCCTCAAACCGGTGCCGGTTGTCCCGTCGTCGATTGTCATGCTGCTGTCTCTCGGCCTGCTGCTCCTGGAAAGAGCGGGAGTCTCTGTCTCTGGGCCTGCCCCCACCTCCATCCCGTTCCCTCTCTCCTCGTTCTCGCTCCCTGGGTCTGTCAGACTCTCTGGGTCCGTCAGCCTGCTCCCACCTGCTTCGCCGCACTGGTGGCTCCGAGGGCTCTGGCTTGTCGTTGCGGTCACGCCTTCTCCGGTCATCGGCACCTCTGTGGTCATCCTGCTCCTGTAGGGGGGACAGTGGGACAGGAGAGTCAAGCACAGGGTCAAAATTATTTGGTAAAGTGTTATCATTTACAGAATACATTTGCTGCATTAAAAGTTTTACATGTATGCATTTCCCCAATTGTTACATTTACTCATAAGTAATGACAGAATCACCCGCTTTATTTTGACATCGGCACCACTGGTAGGGCTTCGGCTCCTGCCGGTGTTTTTGGGCGATCTGTCTCGTCTTCCCAACGCCCTTCTACCTGGCGAATGACCTTTTGTCCTTGGTGGCGATCTAGTCAATCAAATCAACAAGGAAAGGCTTTAAAACCAATAGTTTAGTAATTTAACACCAAGGCTAACTAGCTACAACGGACAGCTCCTACTGGATTCTTCTCTGAGCGACATCTGATAAATAATTTGTAACGCAGGGCTCGACATAAAGGATGTCCGCTGGCCTAGGGAGATTTTGGAAACCCTTCGGGCCAGTCAATCATCCACGTCAGTGCCCTGCTTAGGCCAGTGAAAAAAATATTGTAATAATACTATTTTCAATCTAGGATATATAATTGATGAAAAACAGACAAATTCCCAAAGCTGTTACTTCGTTATGAACATTATTTATTACACGCACTGCACACATAGCTTTTGAGAGGAATATAATATGTCGGGCAGCAAGAGCATGCAGCTCTCAACTGGTTGTCGCGTAGAGCAGCTCACAGAAGAACGACAGCGGTAGGGAAAACGTTTCAATTTATGATAACTACCAGTAAAAGCTAAGGCAACAATGGGTGTGCAAACCAGGTATGTAAAACGTTTGGTCCGAAGTCTTGGTTAAATCTTTGCGATGCGCATTTCAGTCATCATGCTCTGTTTGAATGAACATTTCTAAAGGCTTTCCTAAAAAACCTTCCCAATTAAATTAGGACTGCTAAGTAGACCTACCTGGCAGAATGATATGCATCAATTGGGTCAGCATTTGTTTTGCAAACTCTGGCATCACATTTAGGATACACTGTACGGTACAGAAACACCGCTAGCCAAACAACTGGCTCTTGCTAGGTGCGCATTTGAATTGAAGGGCAACTACAACCTCCCCCAACATGTCTTTTTTTCCAGACCTCAAAAGTAGTCTCCTGATGTGGTTTAACCTCTTAAGGATCGGACCCTTTTTTCCCCAATTTTCAACTAAAATGACATACCCAAATCTAACTGCCTGTAGATCAGGACCTGAAGCAAGGATATGCATATTATTGATACCATTTGAAAGGAAACACTTTGAGGTTTGTGGAAATGTGAAATTAATGTAGGATAATATAACACATTAGATCTGGTAAAAGATAATAAACAAAAAAACATGCATTTTAATTATTTATTTTTTTGTTCCATCATCTTTGAAATGCAAGAGAAAGGCCAGAATATAATATTGCAATTTAGGCGAAATTTAGATTTTGGCCACTAGATGGCAGCAGTGTGTGTGCAAAGTTTCAGATTGATCCAGTGAAGCATTGCATTACTGGACTATTTTGTATCAAGTCTGCCCAAATGTGCAGAATTGGTCAATTGATACATTTTCAAGTACATAACTATAGAAAACATACAAAATTGATATGGTAATACAAAAATGTAAGTTTACACACGCCCAGGAATGTCATACATGATGGATCATTAGCTTATTCACTAACTTTCACAGATCTAGATGGCCGGGCAGGGTGGTGTGGAGCCAGCGACAGCAGGGGTTCAAACTGTAGATCCCAGTTCCTACATTTGAATATAAAAACTGATTTTATCAAACAAAACCGGATGACTGTGTGATATCGCTCTTTGTGGCAGATGTGAGCAAAATGTTTAAAACAGATTTACAAGCACAAGGCTTGAATACCAGGCTGCATTCCCAAAGCACAGATCGGCTGGCAGTGTCTTCACAGACATTTTCAATATCTCCTTGTCCCAGTCTGTAACCCCAACATGTTTCAAGCAGACTACCATTGTCCCTGCTCCCAAGAGCTCCAAGGTAGCCTGCCTAAATGACTATCACCCTGTAGCAATCACATTTGTAATTATGAAGTGCTTTGAAATGCTGGTCATGACACACATCAACCCCATCATCCCACACACCCTAGACCCACTCCAATTCGCATACTGGCGCAAACAGATCCACAGATGACGCAATCGCACTTCACACTGCCCTCTCCCACCTGGACAAGAGGGGAAATTACTATGCGAGAATGCTTTTCATAGACTACAGCTCAGCGTTCGACACCATAGTCCCTTCCAAGCTCATCAAGCTAGGGGACCCAGGGACTGAACCCCTACCTTTACAACTGGATCCCCAGGTGGTGAGGGTAGGCAACAACACCTCCGCCATGCTGACCCTCAACACGGAGGACCCCTAAGGGGTGTGTGCTTAGTCCCCTCCTGTACTGCCTGTTTACCCATGCAGCTGCGTGGCCCTGCACGTCTGCAACACCATCATCAAGTTTGCTTGAGGAAAACAACCTCAATGTCAGTAAGACCAAGGAGCAGATTGTGGACTATCGGAGAAAAAGGGGAGAGCATGCCCCCATCTACATTGACGGGGCTGTAGTTCCTTGGCGTTTGCATCACTAAGGATATAACATGGTCCACACACACCCCCAGTCGTGAAGAGGGCACGGCAGCACCTCTTCCCCCTCCGGAGGCTGAAAAGATTTGGCATGGGCCCTCGGATCCTCAAAAAGTTATACAGCTGCACAATCAAGAGCATCTTGACAGGCTGAATCACCGCTTTGTATGGCAAATGCACCGCCCTTGACCGCAAAGCACTTCAGAGAGTGGTGCGGACAGCCCAGTACATCACTGTCAGAGGAAGGTCCGAAAAATTGCCAAAGACTCCAGCCATAGACTATTCACTCTGCTACCGTCCGGAGCATCGGCTCTCAGACCAACAGGCTCTGAGACAGCTTCTACCCCCAAGCCATAAGACTGCTAAATAGGGAGTTAATGGTACCAGAACTATCTGCATTGACTATCTTGCACTGACCCTACGCACACTCACTAGACTACATATACACACTCACTCATACACACTACACTGACACTCCCACATTCACTACATATGTACACACACACACACACGCATACCGACAACACAAACACACACACATTACACACACACAGACACTTTTACACTCATCATTTGCTGCTGCTACTCTGTTCTTTATTTTACTCTTATAATTATCTATCCTGATGCCTAGTGACTTTACCCTGCCTTCATGTGCATATCTACCTCATTTAGCTCGTACCTATGCACATTGACCTGGTACTCGCTGTATATACACTGTCAAATCAAATCACATGTGCCGAATACAACAGGTGTAGACCTTACCGTGAAATGTTTCCTTACAAGCCCTTAACCAACAATGTAGTTAAGAAAATAGAGTTAAGAAAATATTTACTAAATAAACTAATGTAAAAAAATATTTAAAAAAATACAATAAAATCTAATAACAATAATGAGGCTATATACAGGGGGTACCAGTACCGAGTCAATGTGCGGGGTACAGGTTACTGTAGCTCCATTCTTGTGGGCAGCAGGTAGCTTAGTGGTTAAGAGCGTTGTGCCAGTAACCGAATGGTCGCTGGTTCTAATCCCCGAGGCGACTAGGTGAAAAATCTGTCAATGTGCCCTTGAGCAAGGCACTTAACCCTAATTGCTCCTGTAAGTCGCTCTGGATAAGAGCGTCTGCTAAATGACTAAAATGTCAAATGTATTCCTTGTTACTATTTTGCATCATTTGGAAGGGCTCATAAGCAAGCATTTGATGGTAAAGTCTCCAGTTGTATTCTGCGCATGTGACAAATACAATGTTGATTTGAATTCTAGCTAGCTATCACTTTCCAGTCAACTAACAAATGAGACTTAGCTAGCTAATTGAGGTAAAACTAAGCGACATTCTGCCTTCTCCCTACAGTTTTCAGTCATTTACTTTGCCCACGACTACCTCATGTGAACTACAATCCTGACACCATTTTAACGTTTTTAGAAACGTCAACAATCATCGCTTGCCATATGTCTTTCGAAACATATGCCACTTATCTATCATCAGCGAGAAATAAAGTAGAAATACATTTACTCTAACAGTTTTGCAGATCCATTCAGCTATGGGTGCCTCCATCAGATGAAACTACACTTCAGCTACAATTCCCGAGTTAGGCTTACACACAGGTGTTGGAATGGAGCATGTTAGCTAGATAGCTAATTAGTACAGGTGGTCGGTCGCCTCTTGTCTTCCGTCAACAAGCGCTGTAACAGAGATATTTCCGTGGGGGAACACTAACCTTAACCCTATCAAGGCGTGTATCAATTTAACCTTTTGTTTTTTGAAATTATATGATACGAAATATAAGGTCCTTATGCTTCCAAAGCACCGAAGCGCAATCTAAACATTAACGCGTGTTAATGTTCAGATTGCGCGTCGGTGCTCTTAACAAAACTCCCCCGTACAGAAGACGCCTTCTTCCAATGATTTATGTGTAATGTAATGGAACAGTCATGATCAAGGGCTAATTGAGGACTGACGTTAACGTTACACGACTAAAGCATAACATAACGCCTACTAGCTAAATCGTTAGCTCAGTGGCTAGCTAGTTGCTATTATTGATATTGTGTAACATCATGGCCTTGCAACCATACTGTGTAATTTGTGCTCGCTAGCAACAATACCATACACCCATGAAATCAGGCTACCTGCTCGTTCGTCTCCTCTGCGGCGGTGGGCTGCCGTTGGACCCCGAACTCGAGCGGCGTGATCTCTGTGGCCTAGCAGGGCTGAGTTTCTCATGTTTGATTTTCGGTTTTGACTCCCGCACCGGGGATTCCACTCTTTTATGCCGTCTCTCTTTATCCATTATGAAACTTAACCAATATTTGTAAATCGACTAAATCAAGTTCATAGCGAATAAATATGTATAAAAAGTGAACAACAAACTCCGCTGAGAAAGTTTTCTATTGTGCGCAAGGAAACGTGTTTCCGCTTCCGGCAGAACGCTGGAAATATTTTCCACCGTGACTATGTACTACTTCACTTAGTTCCGCTGTAATATTGCATACCTATTCTATCATCTTTTTAATAAGGTCATGCACCTACAGAATGTTATAATTAAATTAAATGTATGTACTTAATTTTTCTTCCCCATTTCATAGCATCAAAGGTTTGAAACTTCTCTGAATCATGCCTTTGAGCAGCTCGGAGAGGATAGTGAGTAGTGCATGGAATTAAGTTGCCATGGTAAAAATAAACAGTTAAGTCTTCAATTCACATTTCAACAACACATACATTCCTTGAGACATTACTTGCTACAACAAACCACGTTTTTTATGTGTAGTGTAATTAAAGTATCACAATGATTCCTCCAGCTGATTCTCTGCTGAAATATGACAACCCAGTCTTGGTGAGCAGAAACACAGAAAAGAAGTCACCAAAGGTATGATAATTTTAACAAAACACGTTTTGAATGCTGGCTGCTAACGTTAGTTACAGTAGCTATAGGTAGCTAAATGTATCCATCTAGTGGTATCTAACATACATTAAGTGCACTGTCAATACTTTGAAATCAATGTCATGCCAATGTTCCTTTTTTCAACATCAAATTGGCTGAAGATGGATGTTCTTCTAATCTAAATTATGTGTACTGCAAATTCAGGCACGGCCTCTGAAAGTGGCCCCACAACAGCCTGCCATGACTGGCCCTGTGCCACCTCCACCCAAACCCAAGATCCCCTCAGCCGATGCCAACAAACAGCAAACCGAGGAGATCCTCAATGCCATACTACCACCCAGGTATGACATGACACACTCACATCTTCACTAATAAAACACCCTTCTCCCTATTTCTTCCCCTTAGGGAAATTAACTAATATTCCTGGTTTTGCAAAACCTGAAATCTGGCAACCCTGGGTTAATCTGAGTTCTACCACTGTTACAGGGAATGGATGGAGACCAACCAGCTGTGGGTGCAGCAGGTGTCCAGCACGCCGTGTACCCGCATGGATGTGGTGCACCTACAGGAGCAGCTGGATCTGAAGCTGCAGCAGAGACAGGCCAGGGAGACGGGCATCTGCCCAGTCCGCAGGGAGCTCTACTCCCAGTGCTTCGGTAAGGAGAGAGGGGAAGGAAAGATGAGATGCAAGGACGGTAGTATTAGTAGAAAAGAGTGTTGGATGCAAATCCTAAAGCCAGGCCAGTTTGCAGGAGGAGCTAGATTAGGCTAGCCTAAACCTGGTCCTGAACTAAAAAGCTATTTCACTGGGTTTAATCTGTGTCCGGGAAATTGGCCCTAAAGAATGTTGCATTGTGAGTTTCTGTGTTTAAAACTCTATCCCATTGATTGTCTGTAGATGAGTTGATCAGACAGGTAACCATCAACTGTGCTGAGAGAGGACTGCTGTTGTTGCGTGTGCGAGACGAAATCCTTATGACCATTGCTGCTTACCAGACACTGTATGAGAGCAGTGTGGCCTTTGGCATGAGAAAAGCCCTGCAGGCCGAGCAGGGCAAATCTGACATGGAGAAGAGGGTAAGGAAATGGGACACAAACAAACATTTGACACTTTTCTAAAAAAATAATTAAAAAAGAGCATTTTCCGACCTTTGCATCATTGTAGATTAACCTCTACATTCAGAATGCTTGACCTGTCTGCAGTGTCACTGGGAAACTTTTCAAGCGACCAAGCTAGTGTAGACCAGCAGAGGGCACCATCTTTCTAACCCTCTTGGCTGCATTTACAAAGGCAGCCCAATTCTGTAATTTTTTTCCACTAATTGGTCTTTTGACCAATCACATAATCTTTTCACATATCTTTTTCAGAGTTGATCTGATTGGTCAAAAGACCAATTAGTGAAAAGAAAGATAAGAATTAGGCTGCCTGTCTAAACCCAGCCCATGACGTCAGAGAACACTCAGCTTTTACCACTTCATCTCACAGATAAAGCTAAAGATAGTGAATGAGGAGAAACAATCCAAGTGAATGGACTGCTGCACCATTGAATGATTAAAAACCTTTATTACCCGAAAGTGAATTTTATTTGCATCTACTTGTGTAGATCTCCGATTTGCAGAACGAGAAGCGGGACCTGGAGAGACAGGTTAACGAGCAGAAGGCCAAGTGTGAGGCCATCGAGAAGAGGGAGACTGAGAGACGGCAGGTGGAGGAGAAAAAACACACAGAGGAGATTCAGTTCCTGAAGAGGACCAACCAGCAGCTCAAGGTAAAGGCGCTCAGTCATCATCACTGCGCGAACTCCTATGGGCATTGTCGCGCCAAATATCTTCTAGAAAGTCTTTCAAATTATATCAATCAATTGATTTCATTTGAAATATACTTAACAAAACTATAAACGCAACATCAAAAGTGTAAGCCCAAACCAGATGGGATGGCGTATCGCTGCAGAATACATGCGGAGATCATCTGTTCACCCACACCGCGTCTCACAAAGACACGGCGGTTGGAACCAAAAATCTCAAATTTGGACTCCAGACCAAAGCACAAATTTCCACCGGTCTAATGTCCATTGCTTGTGATTATTGGCCCAAGTAGGTCTCTTCTTCGTATTGGTGTCCTTTAGTAGTGGTTTCTTTGCAGCAATTCGGCCATGAAGGCCTGATTCAAACAGTCTCCTCTGAACAGTTGATGTTGAGATGTGTCTGTGACTTGAACTCTGTGAAGCATTTATTTGGGCTGCAATTTCTGAGGCTGGTAACTAATGAACTTATCCTCTGCAGCAGAGGTATCTCTGGGCCTTCCATTCCTGTGGCGGTCCCCATGAGAGCCAGTTTCATCATAGCGCTTGATGGTTTTTGCGACTGCACTTGAAGAAACTTTCAAAGTTCTTGAAATGTTCTGTATTGATTGACCTTCATGTCTTAAAGTAATGATGGACTGTCGTTTCTCTTTGCTTATTTGAGCTGTTCTGACTTGGTCTTTTACCAAATAGGGTTATCTTCTGTATAACCCCCCCACCTACCTTGTCACAACACAACTGATTGTGTCAAACGCATTAAAGAGGAAGGAAATTCCACAAATTAACTTTTAAGAAGGCACACCTGTTAATTGAAATGCATTCCAGGTGACTACCTCATGAAGCTGGTTGAGAGAATGCCAAGAGTGTGCAAAGCTGTCAAGGCAAAGGGTGACTATTTGAAGAATCTCAAATATAACATTGATTTGTTTAACACTTGATTACTACATGATTCCATATTTGCTATTTCATAGTTTGTCTTCAATATTATTCTACAATGTAAAAAATTGTAAAACTAAAGAAAACCCCTTGAATGAGTAGGTGTGTCCAAACTTTTGACTGGTAGTGTACATGTATATTTACATTTACGTCATTTAGCAGACGCTCTTATCCAGAGCGTATATTATTCAAAATATGCAGCCAACAGCTGTACAGATATTGCTGGAAAACTAATCTGCAGATTCCATCTTGTCATCATAAATTACACTTATCCCACATTTCCGCTTTATAAATACACTATATGACCAAAAGTATGTGGACACCTGCTCATTCCAAAAATCATGGGCATTAATATGGAGTTGGTCCCCCCTTTGCTGCTATAACAGCCTCCACTCTTCTTTTCCACTAGCTGTTGGAACATCGCTGCAGGGACTTGCTTCCATTCAGCCACGAGCATTAGTGAGGTCAGACACTGATGTTGGGCGATTAGGCCTGGCTCGCAGTCGGCGTTCCAATTAATCCCAAAGGTGTTTGATGGGGTTGAGGTCAGGGCTCTGTGCGGGCCAGTCAAGTTCTTCCACACTGATCTCGACAAACCATTCTGTATGGACCTCACTTTGTGCACGGGGGCATTGTCATGCTGAAACAGGAAAGGGCCTTCCCCAAACTGTTGCCACAAAGTTGGAAGCACAGAATAGTCTAGAATGTCATTGTATGCTGTAGTGTTTAGTTCCAGTGAAGGGAAATCTTAAGGGCCGAGCCCGAACCATGAAAAATAGCCCCAGACCATTATTCCTCCTCCACCAATCTACAGTTGGCACTATGCATTCGGGCAGGTAGCGTTCTCCTGGCATTCGCCAAACCCAGATTCATCTGTTGGTGAAGCGTGATTCATCACCCCAGAGAACACGTTTCCACTGCTCGAGAGTCCAATGGCGGCAAGCTTTACACCACCCCAGCCGACGCTTGGCATTGCTTGTGTGCGGCTGCTCGGCCATGGAAAACCCATTTCGTGAAGCTCCCGACGAACAGTTCTTGTGCTGAAGTTGCTTCCAGAGGCAGTTTGGAACTACATGCGTCAGCACTCGGCGGTCCCGTTCTGTGAGCTTGTGTGGCCTACCACTTTGCGGCTGAGCCGTTGTTGCTCCTAGAAGTTTCTACTTAACAATAACAGCACTTACAGTTGACCGGGGGAGCTCTAGCAGGGCAGGAATTTGACGAACTGACTTCTTGGAAAGGTGGCATCCTATGACGGTGCCACGTGGAAAGTCACTGAGCTCTTCAGTAAGGGAATTCTACTGCCAATGTTTGTGTTTGGAGATTGCATGGCATATATAGTGTATATTTGATAGATATTTTTAACATTTCAATTTCTTATCCTTTACAGGCCCAGCTCGAGGGGATCATTGCCCCCAAAAAGTGACCCCTTCATTCCACAAGTGATCTGTAACCAGCAGATTTCAGATGGTCCGACACAGCATTATGTAATAAAAGTCTACTTCATAACCATAAAGCCTTGCGTTTCTATAGCAGAATAAAAGAACTCAAATCATTTCTGTTCATATAATTTTTTATGGTATGACATTGTAGATTTGAAGATGTTTTTTTCAAAAGTGCAGTACATAACCTGGGTGCCAATGAGTTTCTGCTCTCTTGCCAACTCATGGACTTGTCATGCCAAATTTGACAGTTCCATAAGGAGTTAGCAAAATAACAAACAGACTGGCACCCAGGCTATGCACTGCGAAGTGAAAGGATGACACTCAGCCTTTCACTTCGCAGTGAAGCTCCATATAAGTTTAAGTCATAGTTTGACACAACAGTGATTGTGTCACTTCGTTGAAGGTCACTCAGGATCAGGTTAATGCATCAAGTGATTCACTTGATTAAGAGATGAATAAGAACCTAATTCACTCAATGCCCCCTCACCCAAATCACTTTCCATCAAGATACCAAGGGTAGGTACCAAGACACCTTCAAACAATTAATTACAATGACAGGGTCATTAAAATAAGGACTTATTAGAAAATGTCCCAGTTTGGTCTCTTGGACCCCAGACTAGCGCTTCGATCTCTTGGCTTTCTTGCCCTCACTGGGCGCCGTAGGCATCTTTCTGTTCTTGTTCTTGTTCTTGACATTGTGTGTTTCGTAATAGCGCGTTCCAACTTTCTTCACCTTCTGAGCACGATCCGCTGCTCTCCTCTGTAGAGAGAGAGGGAGATAAAGAAGACAAATGAGTGAGATTGAAGCCTGAGGAAGAACAGTGCCTTCCTTCATTCCATTAACATTAGCGGTAGGTGAGCGGCCATCCATCGGAGGCATCCAGTCTAGAGAGACGGGTCTGTTTGACGTCAAACAGCGGGTAAGGGAACACGCAGTACCTGCTTGGATGTTAGACTTCTGTGTGGACGCGTTGGCTCCTCCGCCTCCTCGATTTTCCTCTTCTTGCCGACCTGTGTTACAGCTGAGGAACAAATGGTTGGCCAGTAAGTGGATGACCCGTAGGCATGGAATTACTAAAACAGTTAATAGGACATTCCCATTCTATTTTTATGGTATGATTGCTTGTTTGTTTGGTTTCAGTCTTTGGCCAAATATCTACTCCAATGATATATTTTATCTGCTGCTACCCATGAAGACTTGTAAAGTCTGTGTATTTTGTGTAAAGGAAGGTGCCCTTTTATTCTTTGATGGAATAAATTTGCCGGGGTTAAAGCAACAACAACAAAAAACATGACTGAAACTTAAGTCGATCTCAGATTGATTGTCTGCAGAGCCAAGTTAACCTCCCCTTTCATGTAAAAAAAAAGAAGTAATGACCATCATGCTTTTAGGAAAAGAAGATCATTTTGTACATGTATTAAACTGCAAGTTTTACCAATTCCAGTCCTTTTCAATTGGAAATATAACAAAAAAGAATCCATACGACAGAAATCCGTCACAGTGACAGAACTTTAACCCCTGCATTTGGGATGTCAGGTTGGCCATAAGCACACCAAGGAAAATCACAAGTTGAAATGAAGTTGTTACCTTTAGGTTGTGGTTTATTCGCCGCCTGCTTCACTTTCATGTCTGTGAGCACTTTGTCAGAGAGTGCCTTCGGAATCCTGTACAAAGAAACCAAAGTAGAAAGAGACGTCACATATCTCATTACTCCCTACACATCCAGACAGTTAAGTCCCGTTGGAATTCGCTGAGCCGACAATGGAAAGCAAATTGGCCGCAGACGACTCATTTGGCATTGTTGAGCGAGGGATTGAGCTAAAGTTCACCAGCGAGAGAGACGGTGGGCGAGTGTGCGAAACAACGTGACAAATGGTGATGAAAAACCCATCGATCAGACAGAACGGTATGAGCAGCTGCCAATCCCCAGGTGCTTGGACAGTGGAAAACGTGGCATGTTTCACCTCAGAGGACCCAGGCACCCTTAATCTCTCTCTAGAGCTTCGTCCCAAATGGCACCCTATTTCCTACATAGAGCACTACTTTTGGTGCACTATATAGGAAATAGGGTGCCATTTGGGACAGATCTATGCCCGTCTTTTGGACAAGCTCTGGGGTTGATGTGGGCTTACAAAACAATAAAGCACACCTTCAAAACAAGACTGAAATGATAAGTGGTGGAGAGAACTGAGAAGAATAAGACAAACCGGATGGCGGAGAAGCGCTTGAGTCTGGCCCGGTCCAGGAACTGCTTGTACTTTGCAATCTTCCCATCCAGCTCGCGGATCGTCTCACGCGAACTCTTTTTTTCCTCCACCTTGGCAGGCTGACCAGCTGGGGTGGTGGCGGAGGCCTCAGCGTCTCCAGCTGCTGTCTCCCCATCCCCCTGCTCTTCATTTTCCTCATCTTCGCTATCCTTCTCCACGTCCGAGCCGGACAGGTCCGAGAAAACTAGGTTGTCGTTCTCCACGGGCGCCAGATCATCGTCGTTGAACTCGGGCGCCACATTGATCTTGCCGAAGTTCTGCCGGACGTTGGTGAGGATCTTCTGCACCTGCTCATGTTTGAGTTTCTGCTGCTGCTGCTGGGCCTCCTGCTCGGCCGACACTGCAGCCACCACCTCCTCGCTCTGCTCCTCTGTTGCTCCTTCTTTCTGTACACGCTCTGTACCTTCTGGTGCCCCCTCCACTGGGAGTTTCTCCTTGCCCTGAAAACACACCAGTCAGTACAGCTTTCATAATCATGGCTAGGTTCCGATTCTCCTGAAGTGCACACTAGCACATTCATTTGCATGGATTTAAAAATGATGCCATCTTGTTGCTCACCTGAGAGGACCATAACGGAAATAAGACTTTGGGTTTTAGCCTCAATCATTTTAATATATGCATTGTTGTGCCCGGCTTGAGCAGCTTTATATCTATTTTTACAAATAAAAAAGAACCTGAGCAAAGTCAGTCAATGTGACCATACAAGCATGCACTCTTGCCCAATCTTGGCAATGCATGTGATGATATTTTACATTTAGCCAGAGGGTGGCAGACTATAACCAGAGCATGTGCTAACATTACTGTTGGGAATGTCTCTTTTTGTTTTGGTATGCGAGACAGAGGGTTTTATTGCAGCCGTTCGTCCACCTCTCACCTCATGCTCTCCCTCACAGCCAGGGGGTTTTACGAAGAAGGGGATGCGTCCTCTCTGCCAGTCGTTCAGCACCATCTTGGAGACACAGGGAAGGTCTGGCTCACCCCCCTGCAACAGATAATGCATTAGGGAAACATGAGAAGAAAATAAAGTAGGAATAAATGGAGGGTCCTTATATACAGTTGAATTATTATTTATATTATTAAGTCAGAAGTTTACACACACTTAGGTTGGAGTCATTAAAACTTGTTTTTCAACCACTCCACAAATTTCTTGTTAACTAACTATAGTTTTGGCAAGTTGGTTAGGACATCTACTTTGTGTATGACAAGTATTTTTCCAACAATTGTTTACAGACAGATTATTTCACGTATAATTCACTGTATCAAAATTCCAGTGGGTCTGAAGTTTACATACACTAAGTTGACTGTGCCTTTAAACAGCTTGGAAAATTCCAGAAAATGATGTCATGGCTTTAGAAGCTTCTGATAGGCTAATTGACATCATTTGAATCAATTGGAGGTGTACCTGTGGATGTATTTCAAGGCCTGCCTTCAAACTCAGTGCCTCTTTGCTTGACATCATGGGAAAATCAAAAGAAAAATGTATGCACTCACTAACTGTAAGTCGCTCTGGATAAGAGCGTCTCCTAAATGACATTAAAAATTAAAAATAATAATCAGCCAAGACCTCAGAAAAAATATTGTAGACCTCCACAAGTCTGGTTCATCCTTGGGAGCAATTTCCAAACGCCTGAAGGTACCACGTTCATCTGTACAAACAATAGTACGCAAGTATAAACACCATGGGACCACGCAGCAATCATACCGCTCAGGAAGGAGACGCGTTCTGTCTCCTAGAGATGAACGTACTTTGGTGCGAAAAGTGCAAATCAATCCCAGAACAACAGAAAAGGACCTTGTGAAGATGCTGGAGGAAACAGGTACAAAAGTATCTATATCCACAGTAAAACGAGTCCTATATCGACATAACCTGAAAGGCCGCTCAGCAAGGAAGAAGCTACTGCTCCAAAACCGCCATAAAAAAGACAGACTACAGTTTGCACATGGTGACAAAGATCGTACTTTTTGGAGAAATGTCCTCTGGTCTGATTAAACAAAAATAGAACTGTTTGGCCATAATGACCATCGTTGTTTGGAGGAAAAAGGGGATAGCTTGCAAGCCGAAGAACACCATCCCAACCATGAAGCACAGGGGTGGCAGCATCATGCTGTGGGGGTGCTTTGCTGCAGGAGAGACTGGTGCACTTCACAAAATAGATGGCATCATGAGGAAGGAAAATGATGTGCATATATTGAAGCAACATCTCAAGACATAAGTCCGGAAGTTAAAGCTTGGTCACAAATGGTTCTTCCAAATGGACAATGACCCCAAGCATACTTCCAAAGTTGTGGCAAAATGGCTTAAGGACAACAAAGTCAAGGTATTGGAGTGGCCACCACAAAGCCCTGACCTCAATCCTATAGAAAATGTGTGGGCAGAACTGAAAAAGCATGTGAGAGCAAGGAGGCCTACAAACCTGACTCAGTTACACCAGCTCTGTCAGGAGGAATGGGCCAAAAATTCACTCTTATTAAATTCAACTTATTGTGGGAAGCTTGTGGAAGGCTACCTGAAACATTTGACCCAAGTTAAACAATTTAAAGGCAATGCTACCAAATACTAATTGTGTGTATGTAAACTTCTGATCCACTTGGAATGTGATGAAAGAAATAAAAGCTGAAAGAAATCATTCTCTCCAATACTATTCTAACATTTCACATTCTTAAAAAAAAAGTAGTGATCCTAACTGACCTAAGACAGGGAATTTTTACTAGGATTAAATGTCAGGAATTGTGAAAAACAGAGTTTAAATGTATTTGGCTAAGGTGTATGTAAACTTCCGATTTCAACTGTAGACCTTATGTGCTACTTGGCATGATGGGTTCCAAATAAGCATTAGGGTCAAGTGTAGAATTTCAAACTGATCAAGAAATGTCACATACAAAAACATAGACTATGTTTAGGGAAGATCATTTTTTACCACTGACCTACAGCTTGTCAAATACACAGATAAAGCCTGAAGATAACATACACCTTTCAGGACTAAAGTATATTGTGACATTCAAATTCCATTGACCACAAACAGTTATAAAGCTAATTTCAGACAGATGAAAGATGAGGTCAGAAATGAAGACAAGCAGCCCAGACAATGTAGCCTGGTGGTCTCAGATCTGTGCCGTCTTGCCAATCCCTATGGCCATTAGAATGCCTAACAACAACCATAGGAGTTGGCTATGAAGCACAAACAGATCTGGGGCGACCAACAGGCTACAGACAATGACCCTGGACTGTGACTTCAGCCCCCATTGATACACTCCAGGGTTATGTTAATTAAGTACCAAACGAGAGAAAACTGACTGAAAACAGTGAGGGACTATCTGAGCTTGTCCAATATCAAACACTTTGTTTTCCGTAAAGAAATTGCTACAGTGTGCACTAATTAATATGACCCAGGCCCTGACCTTGAGGAGTTTGCCCATGCGCATTGCCAGTTTCTCCAGGAAGTCCTCTGGGGAGCTCCAGGTTGGGATGCGGTACGTCTTCTGGATGTACTCTGGTTTGGCCCGCTCTAGCACCGCCGGAATGTGCTCCTCCGGGTTACGGATCTTCTCCACTTGCACCTGAGAAACAGGACAGGACACGTCATGGAAACAGCAGTGAGGCATACAATTGTTAGGTTAGAAATGGTACAGCTTTAGACATGGAAGTATAAAAAATAATGAGTGAGAAAGTTAGACACACAAATATCATACCACCAAGATATGCTAACCTCTCATCATTACAATGACATGGGAGGGTAGCATTTTGGGAGGGGGGTATGATATTTGTGCATCTAACTTTCTCACCCATCATTATTCACTATTCATTCTGGACTATCTGTAATCATGGTAGCGTCCACATTAATGTACAAGTGTTTAGAAACATTCTATTCACCATGAAAGTGACTCCAAAATGATACAATACATTATTTACCATTCATTTCTATTGGGCACAAAATAATCTGAAACGCAACTAAAACAAACAGCAAATGCATCCAACAAGTTTGTAGTCACAAGCTTGATGAAATCATTGCATGCTATGAATATGGGACCAAATACTAAACTTTTGACTACTTTTAATACACAAGTGAATCTGTCCCAATATTTTTGGTCACCTAAAATGGGGGGACCATGTACAAAAAGTAATTTCCAAACAGTTCACCCAACATGGATGAAAATACCCTCAAATTAAAGCTGACCGTCTGCACTTTAACCATTTCAAGTGCTGGAGTACAGAGCCAAAACGATTTTCCACTGTCCCAATACTTTGAGCTCAATGGATAACACTGACTGCTCCAAAAAAATTAATAATGGTTTACTACAAACAAAACAACCATTTATATTATTGATGGGAAAAAATAATAACGTACCACTCCTTTCAACACGATGTCGCTCTCGCTGTCTTCAGAGGGGTAAACAACGCCGGGGCAGTCGATGAGGAAGATGCGTCGCATCAGGGTGATGTACTGCCACACCTGGAAGAAGAGACCGGGACCAACATCAGCTAAGTCACAGGGTCTAATGATTTTATACTCAGAGCTTATTCACAAGAATTCACCGGTTTGGGACAATAACATTTCATAATGTAGCAGAAATGAAGACCCTACTGCATCAATATAAACAAAACAGATTATCTTAAAAGAGGACAGGCCATTCAGAGCGCACCCCATTAACACTAAAATGATGTACAACACGTAGTTTTAAAGGGATACTGCTAGTTTGAGATGTCATTTATCTATTTACCCAGAGTCAGACGAACTCAAATCTAATTGTATGTCACATACGAGCCCTTAACCAACAACTAAAAAAGTTAGAAACGTGCTAAATAAACTAAAGAAAAAATATAAAACCCAACATGCAACAATTTCAAAGATTTTACTGAGTTACAATTCATAAGGAAATCAGTCAATCGAAATAAATAAATTACGCCCTAATTTATGGATTTCACATGACTGGGAAAGGGTGCAGCCTTGGGAGCCAGGCCCTGCCAATCAGAATGACTTTTTCCCCACAAAAGGGCTTTATTACAGACAGAAATACTCCTCAGCACCCCCTCAGACGATCCCGCAGGTGAACAAGCCGGCTGTGGAGATCCTGGGATGGCGTGGTTACGCGTGGTCTGCGGTTGTGAAGCCGGTTGGACGTACTGCCAAACTATAAAACGATGTTGGAGGTGGCTTATGGTAGAGAAATTAACATTCCATTTTCTGGCAACAGCTCTCTTGGACATTCCTGCAGTCAGCATGCCAATTGCACACTCCCTCAAAACTTGACATCTGTGGTGTTGTGTGACAGAACTGCACATTTTAGAGTGGCCTTTTATTGTCCCCAGCACAAGCTGCACCTGTGTAATGATCATGATGTTTAATCAGCTTCTTGATATGCCACACCTGTCAGGTGGATGGATTATCTTGGCAAAGGAGAAATGCTCACTAACAGGGATGTAAACAAATTTGTGCTCAAAATGAGAGAAATAAGCTTTGTGCGTATGGAACATTTCTGGGATCTTTTATTTCAGCTTATGAAACATGGGACCAACATTTTACATGTTGCGTTTATATTTTTGTTCAGTATAGTAACATAATAAAATCCCAATAATGAGGCTATATGCAAGGGGTACCAGTACCAAGTCAATGTGCAGGGGTACGGGTTAGTCAAGGTAATATGTACATGTAGTAAGGGGTAAAGTGACTATGCATAGATAGAGGGTAGCAGCAGCATGTGTGAAGGAATGTGAATGTATGCGCGCGTGTGTGTGGCATCAATATGCATGTGTGTGTTGGAGTGTCAGTGTAGTGTGTGTCAGTGTAGTGTGTGTGTGGTTAGAGTCAAGTGAGAGTACATCAAGCCTGTGCAAGAGACTCAAGTGCATATAAATAAAATAAGGGGTCAATGCAAAATAGTCTGGGTAGGCATTTGAATAACTGTTCAGCAGTCTTATGGCTTGGGGGTAGAAGCTGTTAAGGAGCCTTTTGATCCCAGACTTGGCGCTCCGGTACCACTTGCCGTGCGGTAGCTGGAGTCCGATAATGTTTAGGGCTGCCTGGTATAGAGGTCCTGGATGGCAGGGAGCTTGGCCCAGTGGTGTACTTGGCCGTACGCACTACCCTTTGTAGCGCCTTGCATTCGGATGCCGAGCAGTTGCCATACCAAGCGGTGATGCAACCAGTCAGAATGCTCTCGACAGTGCAGCTGTAGAACTTTTTGAGGATCTGAGGTCCCATGCCAAATATTTTCAGCCTCCTGAGGGGGAATAGGCGTAGTCATGCCCTCTTCACGACTGTGTTGGTGTGTTTGGACCATGATAGGTCCTTAGTGATGTGGATACCAAGTAACTTTAAGCTCTCGACCCGCTCCACTACTGCCCCGTCGATGTGAATGGGGGTGTGCTCAGCCCTTATTTTCCTGTAGTCCACAATCAGCTCCTTTGTCATGCACACGTTGGAGGGAAAAGTTATTGTCCTGGCACCACACTCCTTCCTAGGCTGTCTCATCGTCGTCGGTGATCAGGCCTAGGGCTGTGGCAGTCACAAAATTGTCAGCCGGTGATTGTCAAGCAAATACAGTGGGGAAAAAATGTATTTAGTCAGCCACCAATTGTGCAAGTTCTCCCACTTAAAAAGATGAGAGGCCTGTAATTTTCATCATAGGTACACGTCAACTATGACAGACAAATTGAGGGAAAAAAATCCAGAAAATCACATTGTAGGATTTTTTATGAATTTATTTGCAAATTATGGTGGAAAATAAGTATTTGGTCACCTACAAACAAGCAAGATTTCTGGCTCTCACAGACCTGTAACTTCTTCTTTAAGAGGCTCCTCTGTCCTCCACTCGTTACCTGTATTAATGGCACCTGTTTGAACTTGTTATCAGTATAAAAGACACCTGTCCACAACCTCAAACAGTCACACTCCAAACTCCACTATGACCAAGACCAAAGAGCTGTCAAAGGACACCAGAAACAAAATTGTAGACCTGCACCAGGCTGGGAAGACTGAATCTGCAATAGGTAAGCAGCTTGGTTTGAAGAAATCAACTGTGGGAGCAATTATTAGGAAATGGAAGACATACAAGACCACTGATAATCTCCCTCGATCTGGGGCTCCACGCAAGATCTCACCCCGTGGGGTCAAAATGATCACAAGAACGGTGAGCAAAAATCCCAGAACCACACGGGGGGACCTAGTGAATGACCTGCAGAGAGCTGGGACCAAAGTAACAAAGCCTACCATCAGTAACACACTACGCCGCCAGGGACTCAAATCCTGCAGTGCCAGACGTGTCCCCCTGCTTAAGCCAGTACATGTCCAGGCCCGTCTGAAGTTTGCTAGAGTGCATTTGGATGATCCAGAAGAGGATTGGGAGAATGTCATATGGTCAGATGAAACAAAAATATAACTTTTTGGTAAAAACTCAACTCGTCGTGTTTGGAGGACAAAGAATGCTGAGTTGCATCCAAAGAACACCATACCTACTGTGAAGCATGGGGGTGGAAACATCATGCTTTGGGGCTGTTTTTCTGCAAAGGGACCAGGACGACTGATCCGTGTAAAGGAAATAATGAATGGGGCCATGTATCGTGAGATTTTGAGTGAAAACCTCCTTCCATCAGCAAGGGCATTGAAGATGAAACGTGGCTGGGTCTTTCAGCATGACAATGATCCCAAACACAACGCCCGGGCAACGAAGGAGTGGCTTCGTAAGAAGCATTTCAAGGTCCTGGAGTGGCCTAGCCAGTCTCCAGATCTCAACCCCAGAGAAAATCTTTGGAGGGAGTTGAAAGTCCGTGTTGCCCAGCGACAGCCCCAAAACATCACTGCTCTAGAGGAGATCTGCATGGAGGAATGGGCCAAAATACCAGCAACAGTGTGTGAAAACCTTGTGAAGACTTACAGAAAACGTTTGACCTGTGTCATTGCCAACAAAGGGTATATAACAAAGTATTGAGAAACTTTTGTTATTGACCAAATACTTATTTTCCACCATAATTTGCAAATAAATTCATTAAAAAATCCTACAATGTGATTTTCTGGAAAAGAAATTCTCATTTTGTCTGTCATAGTTGATGTGTACCTATGATGAAAATTACAGGCCTCTCATCTTTTTAAGTGGGAGAACTTGCACAATTGGTGGCTGACTAAATACTTTTTCCCCCCCACTGTAGGCCTACATGAGGTGTGGGACTATGATTTAAAAAAGTCACAAAAAATAGGTATGCATTGTTTCTTGCCTTACGCTGGGCATATAATAATAATATGCCATTTAGCAGACGCTTTTATCCAAAGCGACTTACAGTCATGCGTGCATAAATTTTTTTGTGTATGGGTGGTCCCGGGGATCGAACCCACTACCTTGGCGTTACAAGCGCCGTGCTCTACCAACTGAGCTACAGAGGACCATCATTCACAAGTGATAATATACACTGCTCAAAAAAATAAAGGGAACACTTAAACAACACATCCTAGATCTGAATGAATGAAATCATCTTATTAAATACTTGTTTCTTTACATAGTTGAATGTGCTGACAACAAAATCACAAAAATTATCAATGGAAATCAAATTTATCAACCCATGGAGGTCTGGATTTGGAGTCACCCTCAAAATTAAAGTGGAAAACCACACTACAGGCTGATCCAACTTTGATGTAATGTCCTTAAAACAAGTCAAAATGAGACTCAGTAGTGTGTGTGGCCTCCACGTGCCTGTATGACCTCCCTACAACGCCTGGGCATGCTCCTGATGAGGTGGCGGATGGTCTCCTGAGGGATCTCCTCCCAGACCTGGACTAAAGCATCCGCCAACTCCTGGACAGTCTGTGGTGCAACGTGGCGTTGGTGGATGGAGCGAGACACGATGTCCCAGATGTGCTCAATTGGATTCAGGTCTGGGGAACGGGCGGGCCAGTCCATAGCATCAATGCCTTCCTCTTGCAGGAACTGCTGACACACTCCAGCCACATGAGGTCTAGCATTGTCTTGCATTAGGAGGAACCCAGGGCCAACCGCACCAGCATATGGTCTCACAAGGGGTCTGAGGATCTCATCTCGGTACCTAATGGCAGTCAGGCTACCTCTGGCGAGCACATGGAGGGCTGTGCGGCCCCCCAAAGAAATGCCACCCCACACCATGACTGACCCACCGCCAAACTGGTCATGCTGGAGGATGTTGCAGGCAGCAGAACGTTCTCCACGACGTCTCCAGACTCTGTCACGTCTGTCACATGTGCTCAGTGTGAACCTGCTTTCATCTGTGAAGAGCACAGGGCGCCAGTGGCGAATTTGCCAATCTTGGTGTTCTCTGGCAAATGCCAAAACGTCCTGCACGGTGTTGGGCTGTAAGCACAACCCCCACCTGTGGACGTCGGGCCCTCATACCACCCTCATGGAGTCTGTTTCTGACCGTTTGAGCAGACACATGCACATGTGGCCTGCTGGAGGTCATTTTGCAGGGCTCTGGCAGTGCTCCTCCTGCTCCTCCTTGCACAAAGGCGGAGGTAGCGGTCCTGCTGCTGGGTTGTTGCCCTCCTACGGCCTCCTCCACGTCTCCTGATGTACTGGCCTGTCTCCTGGTAGCGCCTCCATGCTCTGGACACTACGCTGACAGACACAGCAAACCTTCTTGCCACAGCTCGCATTGATGTGCCATCCTGGATGAGCTGCACTACCTGAGCCACTTGTGTGGGTTGTAAACTCCGTCTCATGCTACCACTAGAGTGAAAGCACCGCCAGCATTCAAAAGAGACCAAAACATCAGCCAGGAAGCATAGGAACTGAGAAGTGGTCTGTGGTCACCATCTGCAGAACCACTTCTTTATTGGGGGTGTCTTGCTAATTGCCTATAATTTCCACCTTTTGTATATTCCATTTGCACAACAGCATGTGAAATTTATTGTCAATCAGTGTTGCTTCCTAAGTGGACAGTTTGATTTCACAGAAGTGTGATTGACTTGGAGTTACATTGTGTTGTTTAAGTGTTCCCTTTATTTCTTTGAGCAGTGTATATAGTGATAGGCTAATTGTCACCCATCAGACTATTCTTGATTTAATCTGGTCTTTACATACACTAAATAAAATGTGACATTTGTTTTGATTTAGAACAGACCATTTTCATGCACCTGCTTCGAAAAAGGTGTCTATACTTAAATAGCAAGTGGAGGACGCTTTTCCCGTGGTTCATTTTCATGCCAGCCAGGTAGGCTATACTCCTGTTGCAAAGACAAGCAATGCACTTAATATTAGGAAAGGTGAGATATAAATATAGTAGGACTAGCCTATAGAAAGCTGATGGGGATCCTCCTCTTTTTAATAGAAGCCATCACTCTGTTTTCTCACGCAATTGCATAGCCTATAGAAATGTTGCGCAACATGAGCTCTTGGGCTCTCATGAAGTGTTTGATTAGATTTTTGATCACATTTGCATTGATGTTAGAGTGATTAGAGGGACAATAGAGTGCTGAGTACCAGGCAGTTAGCAAGTTTGGTAGGCTACTAAGGATCATCAGCGGCATCAGAGCTTGGAGAAGACTAATTACCGTGACTAACTGGTCACGTAGAATTTGACTGCCTTCATGACTTGTGACCGCTGGTGTGGCGGTAATACGGTCACCGTAACAGCCCTAATCAGGCCTACCACCGTCATGTCGTCGGCAAACTTAATGTGTTGGAGTCGTGCGTGGCCACACAGTCGTGGGTGAACGGAGTACAGGGGGGGACTAAGCACGCACCCCGAGGGGCCCCCATGTTGAGGGTCAGCGAGGCGGATGTGTTGTTGCCTACCCTCACCACCTGGGGGCGGCCCGTCAGGATCTAATTTAGGTCTGATTTAGTCGTTTATCTACTTACCCAGAGTCAGACAAACCATTTTTGTCTCTGCGTGCAGTTTGGAGATTATTGAAGTTAGCATATCGTTAGCTTAGTGCAATTGCTGGAAATCTCCCGGTACAGTAGCCAGCTCTTCTCAAAAGCAGGGAAATAGACCTACACCAAAACTGGGTGGTTAGTCATTTATAGTCTTACAAAGCTATACATAGTAATCAATATTTTATACATTTGTTTATTTCAATGATAATCATATAAAACTAGATTCTATCCACTTCCTCATTCTCTGACCCGTTGTCGTATAGAGATTTAGAGATTGCGATGTTGTATCGGTCTCAAATGGCGCTGCCCGTGTGCTTACAGACGCCATAATAAAATGTTATTAGCTCTATAAATCTCTATGCAACAACGGGGAAAGAATGAGGAAGTGGATAGAATCTTGTTTCTTATGATTATCAGTGAAATGAACTAGATATTTTTTATCAACGCTAGTTAAGGATACTATAGTTATCACGTTTCACATTGAATTTATTAACTACAAAAAGGTAAGACGTGTTTTTATATTAATTATGGTGCCACTCCGCACACACAAGCTTGTTAGCTAGCTAGCTAGATCTGGTCCAACGTTAGTTAAGCCAAATCTCTGAAATTCAAAGACATTAAAAGTTTCTTCATATAAGCCACTCCTCCATAGGTATAATTCTGTAGGCCTAATTCAGATAACACGTCATAAGAACAAGATGCCCAGCACTCCTCACCCACAAAATGTCAGTGGCATCGCGCACCCTACACTACACTTCTCTGTCCAACGCATGTACGTAGCTTGCACGCTCCATAGCAAGCGGCTCTATCCATTTGTGAAGTAATTTAATCGAGGTCAATAAAAAAAAATTCATTTCAGAGGTTTAAAAGGAACAGAAAGGAATGATATAAACTGTAAAGTATTTTTTTCTCTCAAACCGGTTCAGAACTTTATTTTGCTGGTCGGAACGGAACGAAAAACATCATGGACAAAACGATTGGAAACTAATTTCAGTTCCAACTCCTGGTCAGAAGGTCTATTCCCCATTCTTTTGAGAGGAGCTGGCTACTGTACTGAGAATCACATAGCTTCTTTCCCCCTGCCTGAAAACCTCGTATATCCATTTGGATGACGGGAGGAAACATTTGACAAGCCTTTTCACACAAACACAAACGCGTTGCACATCCGTTCAAACAACCGTAGAGCGAGAGACCTGAGCAACCTTGTGTTTGGCCACAGACACTAGCAGCATCTGGAGAGACCCACCTCGCATTGGGTGATAAACTCTTGCTGGTTACGTGCCGATCTGATATATCACAAAGAACATTTTTTATCGCTTTTGCGCGCTCACAGCTCTGACAACAGACGGCCAACTCCGATAGTATCTCCCTCAGTGGGATTTCCAGACCTCCAGATCCACCATTTGGTTCCAAACAGGATAAACAGATCCAGAGAGAGGAAATTAAGGATGAGGGTTATTGTTTTTCTTGCTTTTTGGCCACGTCTCTGCCAGGTATTCAGACGTATATAGTCGAGACGGAGGGTTTAAATACATATACTTCAGCGCATCGTTGGGAAGTTACTTAGGGTATGAGTAGCACATTAATACACTAAACAGTGCTGCCTGCAACATCCCATGTTTGTGCTCTCTCTTAGCAATCAAGGGAATTGCGTGAGATTGTCCCCCCTGCATTGTCCATCATTGAGATAACATGGACGTATGTAAATTGCTCATCATGACACCCAGGTATCAATATGGGCTTATGTTCAAGTGTTTTTATTTTGAAGGTATTTTTGAGGGGAATGATAACATACCTTGGTCTCCCCAGCGAGGGGTGCCACGTTGCAGACCTTCTTGGAGCGTAGCGTGTTGATGACAGAGCTCTTTCCCACGTTGGGGTAGCCTATGAACCCGACGCTGATCTGCTTCTTGTCTGTGTGGAGCTGAAGAGGACAAAACAAGTTAAAATAGCAGTTTCCAGAACAATAGTCTATACTTAGCCTGTCTTCAATTCCGGACAGCAACAACTCTAGACCGTACTTTGACGGAGGCCAATACTAATAAAACATGTGACCATGTAATCTAAAAAAGCTTGTTTTCACCGGAGAAAAATAGCTACTGGAAGCAGATAAGTCTACACCATGGATCAAAAATCTGTCAAAACCAAGAGGTAGGTATAAATATTAGTCTCTCCACTTTGTCCCGAAAGGTAAATTCTAACAGCGATTTTTTAAAAACCGTTTCTTCGCTTCATTATCTCTCCAACATGTCTGTGAGCCGAGGCCAACAACTTAAACCTATTTGGAGTGGGGCGAAAGCCTAAAGAACCTCGGTTCACACACCTTCATGCAAGGCTCTTTAATGTCCAGCTCGATCATGGCAACATTGGTATGTTTTCTACTCAACACGGTTATCTTAAACCCAACAGAGAAAGTGTCAGCGAGATTCCTTTCGTCTTTGTTAACTAAGCCTGTGCTCTCCTCTGAGCATCCAAGGCCCTGTTTTATGGCCAGTGCGTACCAAAAACAGCTCGGCAGCAGATGTGAGGATCCTGTGCGGAGCTGTAAGCTCATAAGGGTGGTTAGAGTAGGGTGCCAGGACAAAAGTGGGCCATTTGTACCTACCTCTGTCCCTTAGGGACCTACTTTTAACCAAATGGGGAAATTAGTTCGGGCTGTGTGGAGTGGGGGACTCGTGAGAATGCTGTGCCTACCTTGCCAAACTGCCTGAGGAGTTGGATGAGGGAGCCCTTGCCGAACGAGTTGGTGAGGCTGGCATGGAAGGCCAGGGTGGGGTACTCCGCGGAGAGCACGGCTACCCAGCGTCTCTGATTCGAAGACAACAAAACAGACAGACTTAAGTCAGACAGACATGGACTCTATGTGAAATGTTAGTTAGTTTGCACAGCACGTGTGTCAGTAGAAAGGAAAGTGTGTAGATCGTAGCCTGCAAACTAGGCGAATGTCAAACCATCAAATATCGTGCAAGTATGCACAATTCAGTTGGCCATTGAAAAATACATGTCAAGAAATGTATCATTACTCTAGGGTAGGGCAGCATCTTCTCTGATGCTGATGGAGTAAATAATATACTTCTGAGCGGGAAAAAGGGGTGGTTACCCAAAATTAGCACTGAAGAATAAGCCCATTTAACAACACAGGCACAAACAATGTGTCATTTCAATTTAAGTCTGACATTCATTCATAATGTGTGCTGAACAGTGCATCTGTAGTGTATTCTACTGGCACTAGAGCAAAATCCTGCAGCACATCATAAAAACAGTTGGCGCGCACACCATCCTTCCTGTTTTGGTGACCCCTGAATCCACACACGTTATTTGAGGCCACAGGCTATCCTTTGTCAAAGTAGAGCAATTTGTGGAGAACTACTCACATAAAAAAACTCCTGAGAACATCAACTCACTCCAGAAAACAATTGACATAGAAGGCAATGCCAGTCTTTTGATCGTGTATTAGTCTTTCGAGCACATATTCACAGTTTTGGGGCTTTTCACACTACTGAGCCAAACTAAACTGGACTGAGCTGGCTTGGTTTCGCATCCGCCATAGTTGCTGGAACCATGTTGAAATAGACAATGTGAAAAGAAAGCCAGCTCAGTACAGTTTGGGCCGGCACAATAGCGTGAACAGGGTACATGTGTAGGCTTGGCCAGAGGTGTGGACTCGAGTCACATGACTTGGACTCGAGTCTGACTCAAACCACAAATTTGATGACTTGAGACACGACTTGATAGAAAATCAAACTTGAAACTTGACTTCGACTTGGAGCCTTAAGACTCGACTTAGACTTGAAATGATCTGGGCAGGTTTTGTAACGTTTTGTCACTACTCTCCACGCAGCCAGAGACAGCATCGCATTTGCAAAATAAACTGGTTGGCTAGTGAAACGCACACCCGGCCCTCTGATTGGACCAGCAAATTGTCAATCAACACAGGTCGGGTGAGCTACAGTAGGGCAGTGGTTTTGGGGATATAGCCTACCGATTGTATTTTATATTTATATATTTACCTTCTTCGATCTGGTCACTAACATAGGCCTACGGAATTACACCAAATTATTGTAATTACTGTATTCGTTTTGAAAATGCATTGCATGTGCGCGCGTGCGTGTGTGGGGGGCATCAAGCAACAATTAGTAGCATAGCTGGTCTTTTGGTACAGTGGGGGAAAAAAGTATTTAGTCAGCCACCAATTGTGCAATTTCTCCAACTTAAAAAGATGAGGCCTGTAATTTTCATCATAGGTACACATCAACTATGACAGACAAAATGAGAAAAAATCCAGAAAATCACATTGTAGGATTTTTAATGAATTTATTTGCAAATTATGGTGGAAAATAAGTATTTGGTCACCTACATACAAGCAAGATTTCTGGCTCTCACAGACCTGTAACTTCTTCTTTAAGAGGCTCCTCTGTCCTCCACTCGTTACCTGTATTAATGGCACCTGTTTGAACTTGTTATCAGTATAAAAGACACCTGTCCACAACCTCAAACAGTCCCACTCCAAACTCTACTATGGCCAAGACCAAAGAGCTGTCAAAGGACACCAGAAACAAAATGGTAGACCTGCAGCAGGCTGGGAAGGCTGAATCTGCAATAGGTAAGCAGCTTGGTTTGAAGAAATCAACTGTGGGAGCAATTATTAGGAAATGGAAGACATACAAGACCACTGATAATCTCCCTCGATCTGGGGCTCCACGCAAGATCTCACCCCGTGGGGACAAAATGATCACAAGAACGGTGAGCAAAAATCCCAGAACCACACAGGGGGGACCTAGTGAATGACCTGCAGAGAGCTGGGACCAAAGTAACAAAGCCTACCATCAGTAACACACTACGCCGCCAGGGACTCAAATCCTGCAGTGCCAGACGTGTCCCCCTGCTTAAGCCAGTACATGTCCAGGCCCGTCTGAAGTTTGCTAGAGTGCATTTGGATGATCCAGAAGAGGATTGGGAGAATGTCATATGGTCAGATGAAACCAAAATATAACTTTTTGGTAAAAACTCAACTCGTCGTGTTTGGAGGACAAAGAATGCTGAGTTGCATCCAAAGAACACCATACCTACTGTGAAGCATGGGGGTGGAAACATCATGCTTTGGGGCTGTTTTTCTGCAAAGGGACCAGGACGACTGATCCGTGTAAAGGAAAGAATGAATGAATGGGGCCATGTATCGTGAGATTTTGAGTGAAAACCTCCTTCCATCAGCAAGGGCATTGAAGATGAAACGTGGCTGGGTCTTTCAGCATGACAATGATCTCAAACACACCGCCCGGGCAACGAAGGTGTGGCTTCGTAAGAAGCATTTCAAGGTCCTGGAGTGGCCTAGCCAGTCTCCAGATCTCAACCCCATAGAAAATCTTTGGAGGGAGTTGAAAGTCTGTTGCCCGAGGAGATCTGCATGCAGCAACAGTGTGTGAAAACCTTGTGAAAACTTACAGAAAACATTTGACCTGTGTCATTGCCAACAAAGGGTATATAACAAAGTATTGAGAAACTTTTGTTATTGACCAAATACTTATTTTCCACCATAATTCGCAAATAAATTCATTCAAAATCCTACAATGTGATTTTCTGGATATCTTTTTCTCATTTTGTCTGTCATAGTTGACGTGTACCTATGATGGAAATTACAGGCTTCTCTCATCTTTTTAAGTGAGAGAACTTGCACAATTGGTGGCTGACTAAATACTTTTTTCCCCCCACTGTAGATCTTTTTTTACTTGACTTGCTCAGAATGCACGACTTGGACTCGACCCGTTCTACTTGGGACTCTACTTGAGACTCGAACCTTGTGACTTGAGACTTGCTTGTGACTCGAATAATAGTGACTTGGTCTCACCTCTGGGCTCGGCCATAATTTATGTGCTCTGTCACCTGGAGCTGTATGGCGAGGAAAACTGATGCTATCTATATGGATGTATGATCTGTGGTAACTTGTATCTGTACAGGGTGAACTCTGAATTACTATATGCAAAGGGATTTTGTCTTCTCAGGAATTCTGTCTTCCTTACAATGGTCTCATACCCCACACAAGCCTTTAAATGCTGTGACACCCTGTAGAGATTGGGCCTTGGTGATCAGGTTACTGTAAACCTGGTATCGTTTGATTGGTCAATGGTAGTTGTTTTTACGTTACAGATGGTATCAATGGAATCAAGGTATGTTGTTCTCTCTCTCATCCTGTATCCAGTCCATGGAGGAAGGTTGTATGATCAATTCTCATTTCCTAGGCTTCTAGGTCTCCAGCCTATTAAGGCATCTCTTTGTTCATTATTTTTCTTGAAAGTTAACCTTAAGATCGATATGCTTGGAATAATGCCTTGTAATGCTCGTAACTTCATCGTTATGCCTTGTATGTGAATCCATTCATTTTACAAAGTAATTAAATACACTTCTATTTAGAATTCCATTCTCAGACATTTCTTGATTGCCTATTACTGTAACTCAACTGTAGTCTCTTGCATATTGCCATCTCTCTTTTGGAGTCAGATACATTTTAATAAGCTAATTGTTTTGTCTTATGAGACGCAAGAGACACTTTACAAAAATATAAAATGCAACAATTTCAAATATTTTACTGAGTTACAGTTCATATAAGGAAATCAGTCAATTGAAATACATTCATTAGGCCCTAATCTATGGATTTCACATGACTGGGAATACAGATATGCATCTGTCGGTCACAGATACCTTAAAAAAAGTAAGGGCGTGGATCAGAAAACCATTCAGTATTGGTGTGACCACCATTTACCTCATGCAGCGCAACATCTCCTTCGCATTGAGTTGTTCAGGCTGTTGATTGTGGCCTGTGGAATGTTGTCCCACTCCTCTTCAATGGCTGTGCGAAGTTGCTGGATATTGGCGGGAACATGCTGTCATACACGTAGATCCAGAGCATCCCAAACATGCTAAATGGGTGACATGTCTGGTGAGTATGCAGGCCATGGAAGAAATGGGAAATTTTCAGCTTCCAGGAATTGTGTACAGATCCTTGCGACATTGGGCCGTGCATTATCATGCAGAAACATGAGGTGATGGCGGCGGATGAATGCCACGACAATGGGCCTCAGGATCTCATCACGGTATCTCTGTGCATTCAAATTGCCATCAATAAAATGCAATTGTGTTCGTTGTCCATAGCTTATGCATGCCCATACCATAACCCCACCGCTACCATGAGGCACTCTGTTCACAACGTTGACATCAGCAAACCGCTCGCCCACACGACGCCATACACGCCGTCTGCCTGGTACAGTTGAAACTGGGATTCATCCCTGAAGAGCACACTTCTCCAGCGTGCCAGTGGCCTTTGAAGGTGAGCACTTCCCACTGAAGTCAGTTACGACGCCGAACAGCAGTCAGGTCAAGACCCTGGTGAGGATGACGAGCACGCAGAGGAGCTTCCCGAGACGGTTTCTGACAGTTTGTGCAGAAAATCTTTGGTTGTGCAAACGAAGTTTCATCAGCTGTCTGGGTGTCTCAGACGATTACGCAGGTGAAAAAGACACATGTGGAGGTCCTGGGCTGGCGTGGTTACACGTGGTCTGCGGTTGTGAGGCCGGTTGGCCTTACAGCCAAAATCTCTAAAATAATGTTGAGGCGGCTTATGGTAGAGAAATGAACATTCAATGCTCTGGTGGACATTCCTGCAGTCAGCATGCCAATTGCTCAAAACTTGAGACATCTGTGGCATTGTGTTGTGTGACAAACCTGCACATTTAAGAGTGGCCTTTAACAGTGTGCAGGCCTTCTTGTTCTTTACTGGTCTTGTATTGTCCCCAGCACAAGGTGCACCTGTGTAATGATCATGCTGTTTAACCAGCTTCTTGATATGCCACACCTGTCAGGTGGATGGATTATCTTGGCAAAGGAGAAATGCTCATTAACAGGGATGTAAACAAATTTGTGCACAAAATGTGAGAGAAATAAGCTTTTTGTGAGTATGGAACATTTCTGGGATCTTTTATTTCAGCTCATGAAACATGGAACCAAAACTTTACATGTTGCATTTATATTTTTGTTCAGTGTAATACGCATATACGATAATTATTACCCCACTACACATGTGCGTTGGTCTCAGGATAACGTAAAGGGGTCTCTTACCGTGACCCAGGTGGGGATGAGGTCGCACTTATTGAGTACGAAGATCAGGTGCTTCCAGGGCTTCTCCTTCCTCATGTAGGTCTCGATGCTCTGCGAGCGCGTACCCATGGGGTCTCGGGCATCCAGCACCTGTATGATCACGTCGGACGAGTCTATCACCTGTGAGTTAAGGAGGGAGATTGAGAGAGGAAGGCAGAGTCAGGGTATAGGCTTAACCAGGAGTGAAAGAGTTCTTAGTTGATCTAAACTCATCTCAAATCACTATACTTCAGGGATGCAAACTGGCGAGGGCCCAAATAGGAGACACATTTTTCACACGGGAACATGCGGAAAGTCTGTAAACTGCATGAAAATGTGCCTATTAGTAGTTTAAAAACAGCCTGCGACATGGTTTATAAAATTATATAACATGAGTGCCAATTCGCGGTAGAAAGTGGTTTGGGTTAGAAACTTGCGGTTTTCAGTGATGTAAAGGCGCAAGCATGACTGTCACTGTGGTCCGCTTTTCCTCTATGGCAGTGACACTCGGAGGCTGCATGACAGCAAAGCCTAGTCAGACTGGCCTGCTTGTTCTTACAGGCGAAATGAAAAAGATGCGTATCCACTTCGCTCGCACTGCAAGTCGCACCAATAATTAAACAAATGTAACAGAAACCCCATCACTGCTTGCACACCCCTGCTCGCCATCATGGCTAAATAACATTTGAAAATGTATAGAGATGCACAGAAAGAACGGACAGAGAGAAACAGCTAAGTAGGCTAATGGCTGGCTGCTCACAGCTGTCACACATATTATTAGATGAAGCATTCTGTTATGACATATTGGACATCACGCTCTGAACGCTGATATTCTATTTGTAGGAAGCGTAGGGATGCATTCTGTCATTAATTTCGATATGAGAAACATACACCATTATTCATTGGTGGGTGATAATCTTAGCTTGCCAGTTTATATGCTAACGTAGCTGGCAAGCTAACGTTAAAAACTTTGTGTATAATCATTTGCGCTATTGAAACATACATGCAACTATATAATGTGCATCTTATCAACTAGTACCGCAGCATTACTTCAAAACAGGTTGCTTAACTTGAGTTGCATTCCAAATTTCCCAGTCAGCAACAAAGTGAGTGATGAGAAGGTAATTATATAGAAGCCGCCAGAGAAGGTAACATTAGTGAACACACAGTGGGAGAATCTCAATTGCATACTCATCGCGTCCTCACCTCCTTCCCAAAACCCATTGGATGAGGTCCCTCCCCTCTGACCTTCTACTCTAAATGGGTTTTGAGATGGAGGCGAGGAGAGAGGACGCGAGGAGTATACAATTGAGATCCTTCCATGGAGAAGATCGGTTCACTCCCTTCTTTAATAGCTCAATGGGTGATACACTCTGCGTACTTTGTCAGGCCCCTCCAAAAAAAGTTATTTACGGATCTACAAGATTCCTGTGGATGACATAATTTGAGATCAAAATGGCGAATATCACAGAAAAGTGGCAAGTTTGCATCCCTGATACCGGCACCATATGCAGTATCTATTAGGAAATATCAAGGTGAACTAAAATAAACATTCCTATATCAATCAAATGGAAAGATCCTGTACCTTGTAGAGTTCTCCCCAGATCCTCTTGGACTGGCCCTTCTTGAAGATCTCCTCACGAGCTTCCTCTCTGTGTGTAGATAAATAACATACAGTTCAACAGGTGCCACACCCTAACAATAACCACAGACTGGAACTGCTCATGTGGTCCAACATACAGTCAAAAGCTAGGCTATATTATCAAAACAAAGAAAATGAGTATCAATCATGGAATTGGGGTAGTAGTAAACTTAAAATGGCAATCTTGCGACTTGTGACGGCCGGCCGCCCAACAACCTGCCCGATTGACCCTATCCCCTCCTCTCTTCTCCAGACCTTCTCCCTTACCTCACCTCGCTCATCAACTCATCCTTGACTGCTGGCTATGTCCCTTCAGTCTTCAAGAGAGCGAGAGTTGCACCCCTTCTCAAAAAAACAACACTCGATCCCTCTGATGTCAACAACTACAGACCAGTATCCCTTCTTTCTTTTCTAGGCCCTCTCCTATTCTCTCTATACACCAAGTCACTTGGCTCTGTCATATCCTCACATGGCCTCTCCTATCATTGCTACGCAGGCGACACACAACTAATCTACTCCTTTCCCCCTTCTGATAACCAGGTGGCGAATCACATCTCTGCATGTCTGGCAGACATATCAGTGTGGATGACGGATCGCCACCTCAAGCTGAACCTCGGCAAGACGGAGCTGCTCTTCCTCCCGGGGAAGGACTGCCCGTTCCATGATCTCGCCATCACGGTTGACAACTCTGTTGTGTCCTCCTCCCAGAGTGCGAAGAGCCTTAGCGTGACCCTGGACAACACCCTGTCGGTCTCCGCTAACATCAAGGCGGTGACCCGATCCTGTAGGTTCATGCTCTACAACATTTGGAGAGTACGACCCTGCCTTACACAGGAAGCGGCACAGGTCCTAATCCAGGCACTTGTCATCTCCCATCTGGATTACTGCAACTCGCTGTTGGCTGGGCTCCGTGCCTGTGCCATTAAACCCCTACAACTCATCCAGAATGCCGCAGCCCGTCTGGTGTTCAACCTTCCCAAGTTCTCTCACGTCACCCCGCTCCTCCGCACACTCCACTGGCTTCCAGTTGAAGCTCGCATCTGCTACAAGACCATGGTGCTTGCCTACGGAGCTGTGAAGGGAACGGCACCCAAACGAGGGCATTGCGTTCATCCACCTCTGGCCTGCTGGCCCCCCTACCTCTGCGGAAGCACAGTTCCCGCTCAGCCCAGTCAAAACTGTTCGCTGCTCTGGCACCCCAATGGTGGAACAAGCTCCCTCACGACGCCAGGACAGCGGAGTCACTCACCACCTTCCGGAGAGACACTTGAAACCCCACCTCTTTAAGGAATACCTGGGATAGGATAAAGTAATCCTTCTACCCACCCCCCCCCCAAAAAAAAAAAACATATTGTAAAGTGGTTATCCCACTGGCTATAAAGGTGAATGCACCAATTCGCAAGTCGCTCTGGATAAGAGCGTCTGCTAAATGACGTAAATGTAAATGTTAGTAGTTAATGGTAGACTTTGAATACCTGAAAAAGCACAGTGCGGTTTGAAGGCATTGTCACTGTCAGTCAAAGTGACATCAGTGACAGTAGTCAGTGACAGACTTCACAGTGCCAAAGTGACATTAGGGTGAGTGACCCCAGGAGCTACTGCACTCACCTGACCCCGTCGTCCTCTGTGACCAGGTCGCGGTCCTTCTCAGCGCTGTAGGTCTGTGCCGAGACCTCGGCCTGCTCCGCCAGGTCCTTCATGTCTCCCACCATCAAGTTGGGTCGTTTACGCTGCGCCTTGGGCCCGAACGTAGTCTCAAAGCCTTCTGTGTCCAGGATGTGCACCTTAGAGTTCTGCAGAAGACGGTGGCCAAGGGGAGGAGATGGGGAGATATAATGATTGTCAAAATTATTGTTTGACAGAGGCTGCACTGGTTAGATAACAGGAGGATAAATATATTTGAGAGGCCATTCTATGACAGTTGCTTCCAAAGGAGAGAAGCAGCAGGAGGGAGACAGACGGGGAAGACTTTACGATAGATGTGATTCAGTCTGTGCTGTGCTCTCTTATTATGGTCTCCTCCAATGGGTGTCTGATCTCTATAACCATAAATGTCCTCAAAATTTAAAAATGTCTGCAAGTTGTTCTGCTGCCTTAGACAAACCACAACCCAGAGGGCTGGAGGAGAGCAGCGCTGTGCACGCCCATCAGATTTACCGCCGCCTGTGTTGTATAACAGAGTGAGGCTTTGTAACGCTGCGTGCAAAGCAAAATAAATGCTTCCGCTAAAGCAAAAGTTAATTTCTCTCTCATTGCGAAGAAACAAGCAGAATAAAAACCCAACGGCTTGGAGGGGTTACAGTTGGAACAGTAGTGGAGAGAATGAACAGTGATGTAGAATTCCATGTGTGTTCCGTGTGAGGTATATATTAGGTTATAATTAGTTGGTGCAAACTGCAAAGCTTTATGCAATGGAGCTGGTGGCCGTGTTCCAGGGGTTCCACCAATAAACAATTCTGGAGAACAAACACAGCACCCCAAGTATGCAGTGAAACTGTCAATAAACTGCATTGTCTGAGCCAGATCTGATTAGGAGTTAAATTACCCTCTAACGCAGCTGTAAAAGGCAGCCTTAGTCCTATAGCAACACGGAGAGATCGAGAAAACAAACAGTTTACGGATCTTGTCAAAAGCAATGATGTTTAAGATTTCAGCTTCACCTTGACCATCCGCCAGTATGTTTTGGAGGTTGTTCTTTCTAAAACCATGTGTCTATCACCTCCCGTTTCATTCTTCCACCCCGTCTGGTCTCGTTTTGCAGTTTTCTAAAGCTAAGCCTGGCATTTGAAATTCAAATCTAACAGTAAATGACCATTTTTTATCCTTGAGGGGGAAAAAGAAAAGCAAAATATGTGTTACCGACTGAAGACAGAACCTATGGTGAAAACATCACCATGAAATAGAATAAGACACCTGACAAAGACCTTGGCGAGAACATTCAGTGAAGATCAGGAACAGATCAGAAGAGAGAGAACCAAAATTGACATCCAATAAATAAATAAAAATGCAACATATCTGGACTTGCTCACATTGCCTTGGCATGGGGCTCAATTCCCTAAATGGCGTAAGACATGAAATGGCAAGAGGAAGGAGGAGTGAGGAAAGGAGGGAGAGTAAAATAGGAAAAGACCATTCATCTCCAACAGCTTTGAGCGTCTTGAAAGTCTTGCACGCATATGGAGCTATTTAGAGGGAAAAGAACACTGAAACTCAGTCAACAACATGAAGAACCGGACAGAAGTGTTGTTTGGAGCTGGGCGATATGGTCATATTGTGATACATTTTACCATGTTGCTCGATAACAATAAATACAAGGACATACACTGCACATTGGTGGCAGGGCTCTAGACAACTATCCAGTGCCAAGTAAGACAACAGAGATGGTAGCCTATGATTAAAAAAGTAAGCTATTATTTCATCTAACATATCCAGGGAACGCATGATTGATATTTTTATGTGCAACCTGTCAAAATAGGATCCAGAATTATCCGATGTATTTTAGGCTCTTCAGAGAATTTGCCAAGATCTTTGTGCTATAGGCTATATTATTCACATCCTGTGGAAGTGGGAACTCAAAACATTTAGCTAGATTGCTAAATCTAAATATGATATTGCTATATAGCCATGTAGGATAATTGATTAATCCATCAGTAAAATGTGGGCTAATGTCCTACAAATACTTTCCAGCGCTAGGTGTAACTAAAACAACAGTAGATGCTTTGAAAGCTGTAATTTCCCTGCAACAGCATTTTGATCAATGGTCATATGCTTGTGCTTCTCAGAATGCATCTCTCGCTCCACCGTGCACACAGCAGCCGGCCGCGAAAAAGGGACAGGCAGATACTTTCATAGCATGAATCAACATAATGCATAGGCTATTACGGTTGAGAAAATAATGGTTTTAGAACAATCTACAGGAACGTCGTGTAGCAAAATCACCGGGGGCAGGTGCAAAGTTGGCCGCTGCATCGAACTCTCTCTTGCGAAACAACTCGATACAGGCAGGTTGGTTCATGGTGAAGCGGAGCAAAACGAGTGGGAATAGGCAGGTTGGAGAGGAAGATACCACCTGACCTGCCAACCCTTGCATATTTCACCTCACAAATATAGCCTGGTTAAACCGGACTGAACGCTCAGTCTGGTGTAACCAAGCTCTAAGAAATAGGTTACCTGAGATACACAGAGTAATGATTTTACAATAAGTTAACTACTGACTTTCAGCATGTTTAAAGAGAAGGGACCTCAACTTGTACTGCACTGACTCAGATGACCGATGATTGGTTAAAAATAAATGATAATAAGATGGTTGGAGCTGTATTGTTAGATTTCAGTGAAGCCTTTAATTTTATTCATCACAAATTGCTATTGAAATAAACTAACTTGCTATGGCTTTACATCACCAGCCATCACATGGTTGCAGAGTTATTTATCCAATAGAACCTAGTGTTCTTCAATGGAAGCTTCTAACATCAGATACACTATATATACAAAAGTATGTGGACACCCCTTCAAATTAGTGGATTTGGCTATTTCAGCCACACCCGTTGCTGACAGGTGTATAAAATCGAGCACACAGCCATGCAATCTCCATAGAAAACATTGGCAGTAGAATGGCCTTACTGAAAAGCTCAATGACTTTCAACGTGGCACAGTCATAGGATGCACCTTTCAAACAAGTCAATTAGTCACATTTCTGCACTGCTAGAGCTGCCCCGGTCAACTGTAAGTGCTGTTATTGTGAAGTAGGAAACGTCTAGGAGCAACGGCCAGCCGCGAAGTGGTAGGCCACACAAGATCACAGAACAGGACCGCCAAGTGCTGAAGCACGTAAAAATGGTCTGTCCTCGGTTGCAACACTTACTACCGAGTTCCAAACTGCCTCTGGAAGTAACGTCAGCACAAGAACTGTTCGTTGGGAGCTTCATGAAATGGGTTTCCATGGCCGAGCAGCCACACACAAGCCTAAGATCACCATCCGCAATGCCAAGCGTCAGCTGGAGTGGTGTAAAACTCGCCACCATTGGACTCAGGAGCAGTGGAAACGCGTTCTCTGGAGTGATGAATCACGCTTCACCATATGGCAGTCCAACGGACGAAAATGGGTATGGCGGATGCCAGGAGAATGCTACCTGCCCGAATTCATCTAGTGGAAAGCCTTCCCAGAAGAGTGGAGGCTGTTATAGCAGCAAAGGAGGGACCAACTCCATATTCATGTCCGTGATTTTGGAATGAGCTGTTCGACAAGCAGGTGTCCACATACTTTTGGTCACGTAGTGTATGTGCAGTGCGGTGTCCCTCAGGGCAGTTGCCTTGGGCCGTTACTCATCTATTTTTACAAATGATTTGCCACGAAGCTATAATGACTATGTATGCGGATGAGTCGACACGCTACATTTCAGCAACCAAAGCCAGAGAGCTCACTGAAATTCTAAGTAAGGAGTTAGTCAGCATCAGAATGGGTGATTCATAATAAAATGGTCTTAAAAACATAAAAACTAAAAGCATTGTATTTGGTTCAAAACATTGTCTAAGACCTAAACCTCAACTGGAGTTGTACATAAAGGTGTGACCATTAAGCAAGTTGAGGAAGCTAAACTCCTAGGTATAACATTGGAAGGTCAATTATCATGGTCAAGTCATATTGAGAAAGTTGTTGTGAAGATGGGGAGGGTTGTGTCTGTTATAAACATATGTTCTGCGTTTTTGACAAAAATCAACTGTACTAGTTGTTCCGGCTCTGGTCTTGTCCCATCTTGATTACTGTCCGGTAATATGGTCAGCAGAGAAAGACCTAGCAAAGCTGCAGCTGGCTCAAAACAGAGCAGCATGCCTTGCCCTTAACTGGACATACAGAACTAACATCGACAATATGCATGCCAGTCTTTCTTGGTTAAGAGTTGACGAGCGATTAACTGCTTCTCATCTACAAGAAATATTACTGTGACGAAAATTCCAGATTGTCTATATAATCAAGTAACATTCAGCTCAGACACCCATACATACCCCACAAGACATGCCAACAGGGGTTTCTTCACAGTCAAAGACCAAAAACGAATTCACTGCAACGCACAGTTTTATACAGAGCCATCATCGCATGGAACGCCCATCTCCAATTACTCAAGCAAAACTACCTTTAAAAACAGATTAAAAAGCAACTCATGGAACGGCGGAGACTGTGAGAGCCACATTTTTTTGTAGATGTATTGTTTGTATAATTGTTTTGATATTGTTTGTATATCGGTGTATCTAAAAATTGTGACTTTCATTTTCTATCAGTGTTTAGTTACTGTTTTGAGTTTTTTTGTGGACCCCAGGAAGAGTAGCTGTTTCTTCTGCAAAAGCTAATAGGGATCAACACTCCCTGTAGTCAGAAACATCACCACCACAAATATGAAAGCACACAGTGGGGAGAGTGCCGTCTGCTAAGCATCAAGTAGCCAACTCCACCCCAGTGTTGAGTCACTTGGTGTCCTAATTTGACCAGGGTCATATTCATTAAGCACCAAACAGAAGAAAATACTAAAACTTCTGAACCATTTTTAGTTTTGTCGCAAAACATTTTGATACAGTAGGCTAACGTTGCACGGTCAACCGAAACGTTGGTACTTTTCCGATACTAAAACAGGAAAAACAGTTTGATACTAGAATTTGTTACTTTCGGTAATTGTGTCAAATGTGTCTCAAGTCATATACGGATTGAGAGGATCGAGTCTGTCTAGTAATTTGTCTGAATATTTTCAAGGGGGCAGTAGTGAGCTAGCCAGGCTACATGAGCTAACTGTAAGTCGCTCTGGATAAGAGCGTCTGCTAAATGACTAAAATGTAAATGTAAATGAGCTTGTGCATGCAGCAGACACAGCGCAAGCCACTTTTGAGAAGCAAGCGAGAGAGAAAATGCCGACAGCATGGCTTCTTGAAACAAAAACATCATACCTCCACGCCCGCAGCTTGTTGACGAAACTGTCTCAAGAAGCGAACATTTCTTTACATTTTAGTCATTTAGCAGACGCTCTTATCCAGAGCGACTTACAGTTAGTGAGTGCATACATTATTATTTTTTAAATTTATTTTTTCATACTGGCCCCCCGTGGAAATCGAACCCACAACCCTGCCGTTGCAAACGCCATGCTCTACCAACTGAGCTACATCCCTGCCGGCCATTCCCTCCCCTACCCTGGACGACGCTGGGCCAATTGTGTGCCGCCCCATGGGTCTCCCGGTCGCGGCTGGCTACGACAGAGCCTGGATTCGAACCAGGATCTCTAGTGGCACAGCTAGCACTGCGATGCAGTGCCTTAGACTGCTGCGCCACTCGGGAGACGAACTATGGGAATACTTTGCGTACAGAGCAGATGAGGGCCAGCCAACCGAAACAACTAAGCAAAAGGTGCTACAAAGCAGTGCAGTGCAAGGGAGGTTTAGTTCCAAAACGACAAACTATTTTACACACAACATTTGCATTGTAACGTTATTCTACTAGCAACTAAATTTGAATGATTTTTGAGTGACAATGACAAACATATATTCAGCATGACATTCATGTGAGCATTATAATCTGATTACAACCGAAAAGTAATTTGAAATGCACTCATAACTTAGCTATGAAAGCAATATATTTAGACTACTTCGTGTTTGTCTGGGCTTGCTAGCATCAGCCAGCAGCCCTGGGCGGAGCATTTCACCCTGGGAGTTAAAATGCACTCTGGGAATCGTAGTATGCTATGTAAAATCCATTGTATTTCTACAGTGGGGGAACATTGTATTTAGTCAGCCACCAATTGTGCAAGTTCTCCCACTTAAAAAGATGAGGCCTGTAATTCTCATCATAGGTACACGTCAACTATGACAGACAAATTGAGATTTTTTTTCTCCAGAAAATCACACTGTAGGATTTTTAATGAATTTATTTGCAAATTATGGTGGAAAATAAGTATTTGGTCACCTACAAACAAGCAAGATTTCTGGCTCTCACAGACCTGTAACTTCTTCTTTAAGAGGCTCCTCTGTCCTCCACTCGTTACCTGTATTAATGGCACCTGTTTGAACTTGTTATCAGTATAAAAGACACCTGTCCACAACCTCAAATAGTCACACTCCAAACTCCACTATGGCCAAGATCAAAGAGCTGTCAAAGGACACCAGAAACAAAATTGTAGACTTGCACCAGGCTGGGAAGACTGAATCTGCAATAGGTAAGCAGCTTGGTTTGAAGAAATCAACTGTGGGAGCAATTATTAGGAAATGAAAGACATACAAGACCACTGATAATCTCCCTCGATCTGGGGCTCTATGCAAGATCTCACCCCGTGGGGTCAAAATGATCACAAGAACGGTGAGCAAAAATCCCATAACCACACGGGGGGACCTAGTGAATTACCTGCAGAGAGCTGGGACCAAAGTAACAAAGCCTACCATCAGTAACACACTACGCCGCCAGGGACTCAAATCCTGCAGTGCCAGACATGTCCCCCTGCTTAAGCCAGTACATGTCCAGGCCCGTCTGAAGTTTGCTAGAGTGCATTTGGATGATCCAGAAGAGGATTGGGAGAATGTCATATGGTCAGATGAAACCAAAATATAACTTTTTGGTAAAAACTCAACTTGTCGTGTTTGGAGGACAAAGAATGCTGAGTTGCATCCAAAGAACACCATACCTACTGTGAAGCATGGGGGTGGAAACATCATGCTTTGGGGCTGTTTTTCTGCAAAGGGACCAAGACGACTGATCCGTGTAAAGGAAAGAATGAATGGGGCCATGTATCGTGAGATTTTGAGTGAAAACCTCCTTCCATCAGCAAGGGCATTGAAGATGAAACGTGGCTGGGTCTTTCAGCATGACAATGATCCCAAACACACCGCCCGGGCAACGAAGGAGTGGCTTCGTAAGAAGCATTTCAAGGTCTTGGAGTGGCCTAGCCAGTCTCCAGATCTCAACCCCATAGAAAATCTTTGGAGGGAGTTGAAAGTCTGTGTTGCCCAGCGACAGCCCCAAAACATCACTGCTCTAGAGGAGATCTGCATGGAGGAATGGGCCAAAATACCAGCAACAGTGTGTGAAAACCTTGTGAAGACTTACAGAAAACGTTTGACCTGTGTCATTGCCAACAAAGGGTATATAACAAAGTATTGAGAAACTTTTGTTATTGACCAAATACTTATTTTCCAGCATAAATTGCAAATAAATTCATAAAAAATCCTACAATGTGATTTTCTGGAAAAATGTACCTATGATGAAAATTACAGGCCTCTCATCTTTTTAAGTGGGAGAACTTGCACAATTGGTGGCTGACTAAATACTTTTTTCCCCCACTGTATGTTGTGTACTGCGTAGACCAGGGGTATTCAACTCTTACCATACGAGGTCTGGAGAATGCTGGTTTTCTGTTCTATCTGAAAATGGCTTCGAAGTCCAGGGTTGAGTTTGAGGGGTGTAGACTATTGCAGTATAGAAGCTTCAGACATGTTGTTTTGGAACTAAACTATTAAATTATTTAGCAGTGATGAAAAATGAATCATAGGTCTAATGAATGTCATTTTACCCAATATTATGGCCATAGATGATCAAATTAACCCGGATACTGTATGTATCAAATTACATTTTAGAAGAGATATTCTTCTGTTATTTAATTCTTAAGTCAATAAAAATGTGATAACATATTGAATTTGGCCTTTAGTACTATAGTCCATAGAAACGCATTGAATAACACATTCATAAAATGGCAAAAAAGACAGTCAAATGTTTTATAATAAAGAATAAGGTTTTGAAGTGTGTCATATCTAGGAGATATAAGAAATCTCACATAGATATACACACACACATTTAACCCCCAACTCTAGGTGGTTATTAATATGGTGTTTTATTTTTTGAAAGAAATTGAATATATTATTTTAGATGTTGTACAAGTTATCAACATATTGTTCAATGTTTTAAAAAATAAAAGGCCAGTGGTTATTCTGTCACTTTTCTTGCAACGGTATTGTTTCAGTATCGTGATAGTAAACCTGGTATCGATGTCAAAATGCTGGTATCGTGACAACACTACAGTGTGCCCAAATTTATGCGACCCTGTTTGTTACTCACATGTGCCTTGACTCTGTCATGCAGGAGGGACATGGGCAGCCTGCTCTGTTTCATCACCACGCGGTATGGGTCCTTCTTCACTGCACCCATCTCATCCTGGAACTTCTGTAGGGACGACTGCTTGATGACCCGAGTGTTTGCTGAGATGGAGGAGACCAGAGGGGAAGAATTAATCAGTGTGTGTGTGTGTGTGAGAGAGAGTTGAGGCTGCTATCTTATCTCTCCGTACACAGATATTTAAAAAGGCATAAAAACAGATTTATTCTTACAAATCAAGGGTTTGCCAGTCAATATTGACAAGAACTTCACTATTCTGTACACATTTTCAACTTGCTCAGAGCCAATTAATTGTTAGACAAATTGCCATTATACCCATCTAATCAATCATAAACAACACAGACCCAAAATCATTTGTGGGTTAACCTGTGACAGTGTGGCAATTGCAGTTAACAGCACTACTCACCAAACCATTTGATGTTGGGCTCCACTCTGGCCTGTGTCCCATCAGCCACAGTGGACTGGTATGACAAACGCTTGATCACCTGGCCTCTGTTGTTGCTAATGGCAGAGGAAATAGTCAGTGGTCACGAAAGCAGGTGCATGGCAATGATATTACAGTCAAATATATTACAACACAATCATTTAAATTAATAAAAAGAATGAAGAGGAGCTAAATGTAGAATACCAGGAACTGGTGTGCTTTATCTGGGTAAAGTGTCAACTGAACAACCCCTGACCTGAGAGTTACACTAGCATTAAAGGAAAGAGTTAATATGCAAGTCACAGGGGAAGTGTCACAAATGTTTTTTTCTCTCCATCATTTACCATCTCTGCTTCTGTCTGTACATATTCAGACGCCTGACAGTTGCTCGGTCCCTCATGCTGTTGCCTGAACCTGCAGGAGTCTTGGGTCGGTCTGGAAAAGGTAGAGTCGTAAGGTTATGGTGATATAGCAATTTCATGTCACACAGTGTTAGAGATTATAGGTGTGTGGTGGTACTTTGGGTTAATTAATTGTCAGTGTAAGAACAATATTGGAAATCCATATAAAGTGTAGTTATTAAACTATTTAAATAACCACTATGTTATAGATGCAAGCAAAAATAGGTTGGACGTTTTACGATCTGAATTATTTGTAACTTATTTTTTAGTCATAAATATGGCTAGGACATCTGGTGATTTTTTTCTGTTTGCTATCATACATACAAATAGACAATACATATAGTGATGACATTCTGCCTATTTCAGGTAGAGGAAAATATGTTCTCAATGTTGTTATTGAAGTTACGTTGTGTTTTAGACATAACGTTAGACAGAATGTGTAGCTAAATTAGCTAGTTACTGTAGCGAACTAATGATGTCAGTGCCAAACATATTGTATACTTTTCCATTTGTAGCTAGCTAACACGAATGTCACATATGGACCAAATGTTTTTGTATAGCTAGCTAGGTAGGTAGATCTGTCAGTTTCATCTTTTCAGAGAGAAAGTCTATCGGGCTAGCCAGCGAACTAACGTTAGCTAACTAACATTTGCTGTAAACAAACAGTACATGGCGCATGGACTGTAATTTACCAGGATTACTGCTGGCCGTCGAGGTGTTTATCGTGCTTTTCCCCTTGAACCGTGGCTTCACCATCTTGGCAGGTTATCTGACACACACGTAGACGATGAACAGTAAACGAAAACACTCAAAATGTCAAGTTATATCTTCAACTTCTTCTATGTACCCGATCCACGTGTTCTAACCCAGAGTAACCACGTTCCGGAAGGACGTCATCAGAGAGCGACTATACATGTACCAAAATGCTGATCTGTATATAATGACGAAACGCAATGGTTTATGCCACGTTCAAAACAACTGGGAACTCGGAAATCTCCGACTTCTGACTTCAACATATTCAAAACAACTGGAAACTCGAAAAAAAACGAGCTCCGACTGGGGAAACGGTCATCCAACTCAGAATTTGAAATCAGTAACTCAGCCTCTTTCTAGAGTTCCGAATTTACGACCTGAAGATCACTGACATCATGATTTGACCTCGTATTTTCCGAGTTCCCATGACCATGTGATGCTCAAGTAAGGGTCAGTGCTTTCCGGGATCATTGGGACTTCCCTACCCTTACCTTAACCATAACCCATAACCATATTGTTCCACTAATAAAGGACTATTAAAAGTGCAGTGCACTACTTTTGTGAAAAATTATATTAAATTCAAGCACCCCTACTTACAGCGGCCCTAGCCCATTGAAACATTTAGCTTTACACATAAGAGTCATTGGACTAAGGCGTATTCTGAAGGTGGAGGTTTTGTTAAGATCCCCGACGCTCGGTCTGAACTTTAACATGCATTGATTGCAGTATGTTTCTTTCATATCAGCAATAAATACATTGATACACACCTTTATAGTGTTAGGGTTACTGTTCCCACACAGCCATATATCCATGTTACAGCATGTGCTTACAGAAGACAGAGGGACCACCTGTGCTAATTAGTTATCTAGCATGCTCCACCTGTGTGTAATGGAGGAAGGCCGCCAGAAAGGCGTTGTCAGTGACCACGTTAACATGCACACCAATATCCCGTTATTATTCGGGATACTCAAGTATTCTGTTTTTGAGTTGACACATACTGTATAAACCTCATATCTCGTTTACAATAACCCGAAAAAGCTTGTATCCCGGTTATGAAAAACCCAGATAAGATGCCTGGGATATGCTGATCTAAAACGTGATACTGTGGCATGTAAACATCTTATCTCATTTACTGTTGTTTTTGCGGTCTGTGCAGGCTCTGTTTCACATATGATGGATGTTGTGTGATGTTTTCATCTGATTGTCAAACAAATCACCTCAAAAAGCAGGCTACCTGCGCAGTTCGATCCACCATAATAATTTAGCCTACTATAATTAATTTACTATAATCTTCTACTGGCTACTTTCCCCCCTAATTTAGACACGTTTCTGCTTATAATGTCCAACATTTGATAGGCTATTATAATTTCCGACATTTGGTAGGCCATTTGTTTGTCAACTATAGTTTGATACATGCAGCTTCTCTTCTGTCATATAAACGCAACATGTAACAATTTCAACAACTAATTGTTTTGTCTTATGAGACGCAAGAGACACTTTACAAAAATATAAAATGCAACAATTTCAAATATTTTACTGAGTTACAGTTCATATAAGGAAATCAGTCAATTGAAAAAAACTCATTAGGCCCTAATCTATGGATTTCACATGACTGGGCAGGGGTGTAGCCATGGGTGGGCCTTGGAGGGCATAGGCCCACCCACTTGGCAGCCAGGGCCCACCCACTGGGGAGCCAGGCCCAGCCAAGAATGAATTCCCCCCCCCCCCCCAGTATGTGGCATTGTGTTGTGTGACAAAACTGCACATTTTAAAGTGGCCTTTTATTGTCCGCAGCATAAGGTGCACCTGTGTAATAATCATGCTAATAAGCTTTTTGTGTGCATGGAACATTTCTGTTTTTTTTTATTTCAGCTCATGAAACATGGGACCAACACTTTAAATGTTTCATTGAGTTAAGCGTGATATGAGCTACTATCCGGAATACTGTGCGCATGTAAAGTAGATCATTGAAAAATATTGTCTGCTGCAACTGTGATAAAGCCGGTTAAAACAGTGCATAGTAAGTGTATATTTAGCATCTGTGAAATTATTTGATGTGACATGAAAGTAAAGCGCTTTATGTTTCTAGAACCTTATAGCCATTAAGAATCGATCCACGTTTAGATTGAGTATTTGGCTGTTTTGGCTGCCAGAGCCAGTTACCTCTGAAAATAATATATAATTTAACAACCTTGGATCTTAAGGAGTAACGGTAGGCTCCTTAAGAGTAGACTGACATCTTGGGCTAGGTCCTATGCAGTTTTGTCAGAAAATCGTTTAGCTGGTGGTCTCAGGTCTGCTGCTTATTTTGCATTTCCTAACGGGCGCTGTTCAGCCAAGCAAAATACTAACAATGTAAACCACGTACCAAAACGAACAATAAAATACATTTTCAGAGAAAGCAGTTTATATGTAGATCCTATTTATCTAGTAGCTTGTACTGGTGATACTTGCTACTAAATGCTATAATTCTGCACATTGCTGCTTTTTCCAGAAGAGGGTGCAACACAGTTGTATTGGTTTGCTTGCCTGGGTCATAGAGGATTATGCACAGAAGTGTGCATTAAGCCTTTTACTGTCAATCCTATACATCTATTCCTATTGCAACTGTTCTGTCAGGTTATAAATTAGGATTATAATTAGCCTTCCTATTTTAGTTTTACAGTTGCACTTTATTTAACTACATAACATTTATTTTACACCCAACCCATGTGTGCAGTTTATAGGCCTACACAACTATTTATATAGGCCTAACTACCAACTTTGGACTGTTTGTCATACAGCCTACCTGTGTTTTTGCAGTTTTTTCCATTCTGCATTCCTAACTGAAAACACTGTCATTTTGATTACTTGTCCACTAATGTATTAAAAAGTTTGCCTAAATGCATCTGTTTCAGCTCAAATGCAAATGTTGGTTAGATTACATTGTTATTCTGCAACAATCTGTGCTCATAGTAGACAAGTTGATGAAAATGTGGTCTTAAAGGTATTTTTGTGTGTGACGGTACAGCCCTGGCAAATATAATAAACGTGTTTAGCCTACAGTATATAGGCTAATACACTTGAAACCTGTGCAGAGAGCTTGTGGAATGCGTAGATAATGGATTCAAAGGCCTTGCACGTTGCCAATAAGAAACAGGCATACCCAGCTTAATAATGGTCCTCTATATCCATTTTATATGAGGTTTAAAGGAATTTAAAAGTGTTTTACCTTGGCCGTGAATTTAGAGGTATTTTACCCTGTCGGAAGAGACTTGTAAGGTACCATTTTAACAGCCTACTTAGTATTTTTACTTTCATCATCAAGGTATATGACGCAAGAACATAAATTGCACTCAATTCAACACTTTACAGAAGTAAAAGATAAGATTGTGTAGAGTTGGCTACAGTGGTAGTACTACACTATATGGCACAGTGCCATGCCGTAGCACTAATTTGCCCAGCCTCTGAAGGTGGGTCTGCCAGTGTTCAACTCCAGTAAGCTCGCAATAGCAGCAGGAGAAAAGTTCTGACCAGACCAAGGAATGTTCTCTGTTCATTTTCATACAGATGAAATTGGAGCTGACGGCATCAGCAATGCATTTTTCCCTCAAAATTGATTGAAATGTCAAGCAAAGGCTGGGGTCTTGTTAGGACAAACAAAGAGACAACAGACAAATGCTCCTAAATTATTTTCAGGTTTTATACGTTTTGCCCTTTTGAGCTCATCTGTCTTTTTAACATTAGAGCTGTTGTCAGAGAAAAATAAGCATATCAAACAATGTCATACCTTTTTGCTTCAATACCACTTCAGGTTTTCCTAACCATTTAGATTAGTGGGAGTGCAATTTCAGATCATTTCTGAGTATTACTCAGGTCATGTCATACGTCACAGCTAATACCCAATTCCTGTTTCTCTTTGTTAACTTCTTAAGGATCGGACCCTTTTTTTCAATTTTCGCTTAAAATGACATACCCAAGTCTAACTGCCTGTAGCTCAGGACCTGAAGCAATGATATGCATATTCTTGATGCCATTTAATATAATATAATATGACATTTAGCAGACGCTTTTATCCAAAGCTACTTACAGTCATGCGTGCATACATTTTTGTGTATGGGTGGTCCCGGGGATCGAACCCACTACCTTGGCGTTACAAGCGCCATGCTCTACCAGCTGAGCTACAGAGGACCACCATTTGAAAGGAAACACTTTGAAGGTTGTGGAAATGTGAAATGCATGTAGGAGAATATAACACATTAGATCTGGTAAAAGATAATACAAACAAAAAAACATGTGTTTTCTATGTATTTTTCTGTTCCATCATCTTTGAAAGGCCACAACATAATATTGCAGTTTAGGCGCAATGTCGGCCACTAGATGGCAGCAGTATGTGTGCAAAGTTTCAAATTGATCCAGTGAAGCATTGCAATACTGGACTATTATGCATCAACTCTGCCCAAATGTGCCGAATTGGTCAATTGATACATTTTCAAGTACGTAACTATAGAGAACATACAAAAATGATATGGTAATACATAAAAAATGTAAGTTTACATACTCCCAGGAATGTCATACATGATGGATAATTAGCTTATACACTAACTTTCACACATCTAGATGACCGGACGGGGTGGGTGAGGAGCCAGAGACAGCAGGGGTTCAAACTGTAGAACCCAGTTCCTACATTTGAATATAAAAATTGATTTTATCAAACAAAACTATGCTACATTTTATCTCTGGGACCCTCAGGATGACAAATCAGAGCAAGATTACTGAATGTCAGTACATTATTTACCTTCAGAGGTGAATGTATCAAACCAGTTGCCATGATAAGATTTTTGTTGTTGTGCACTCTCCTCAAACAACAGCATGGTATTTTTTCACTGTAATAGCTACTGTAAATTGGACAGTGCAGTTAGATTAATAAGAATGTAAGCTTTCTGCCCATATAAGACATGTCTATGTTCTGGAAAGTTTGCTGTTACTTACAACAGTCATGCTAATCACATTAGCTCACATTAGCTTAACCGACATCGATCCCGTAGAGGTTAACATTTTGTTCTTTGAGCAATAAAGTGTTGTAAATTAATGTTGCAAAGTGTAACCAGTCACCACCACCACCACCACCATATGGAACCAGCCATCTACAACATACGGAAAACGTT